ATTTCTATTTTAAGCATTTTGAGGAACCTCCATACTGCTTTCCACAATGGTTGAACTAATTTACATTCCCACCAGCAGTGTAGGAGGGTTCCCCTTTCTCCACAACCTCGCCAACATTTGTTGTTGTTTGTCTTTTGGATGGTGGTGATCCTTACTGGTGTGAGGTGATATGTCATTGTGGTTTTAATTTGCATTTCTCTGATGACAAGTGATGTGGAGCATCTTTTCATGTGTCTGTTGGCCATCTGAATTTCTTCTTTAGAGAACTGTCTATTCAGTTCCTCTGCCCATTTTTTAATTGGATTATTTATTTGCTTTTAAGATATAATGTAAAATATAATCCAAGACAATTTAGTTGGGAAAAAATAGTCTTTTCAACAAATGGTGCTGGGACAACTCATCATCCATGTTCAAAAGAAAGAAGTCAGAAACCTACTTCCCACCATAAACAAAAAATGAACAAGAAAGAGACCAATGAACTAAATGTAAGTACTAAAACTTACATAAACTCTAAACAAACAAAACTCTTGAAAGAAAGCCTAGGCATAAATCTTTGCTACCCTGGATTAGGCAATGGTTTCTTAGATATGACACTAAAATCACTAGTGACAAATGAAAAATATAGATAAACTGGACTTTATGAAAATTAAAACCTTTGTGCTTCAAAGGACACTGACAATAAAGTGAAAAAACAACCTATATTCTACAGAATGGGAGAAAATATTTGCAAATCATATATCAGATAAGGGATTTGTATCTACAATATATAAAATACTCCTATATCTCAAAACTAAAAAGATAAACCAATAAAAAATGGGCAAAGGATCTGAATAGACATTTTCCCAAAGGAGATCCATAAATGGCTAACAAACATATGAAGAGATGCTCAACATTAATGGCTTTTAGGGGAATGTAAATAAAAACTACAGTGTGATACCACTTAATGCTAATTAGGATGGCTACAATAAAAAAGACAACAAATGTTGGTGAACATATGGAGAAATTGGAAATTTCATACCTTGCTGGTAGAAATGTAAAATGGTACAGCCACTTAGAAAAACATTTTGACAGTTACTCTTAAGTTAAACACAGAATTATCATATGAATTACCAGCAATTCCACTCTTACATATATACCCAAGAGAACTGAAACCATATGTCCTCACGAAAATGTGTCCATGAATACTCATAGGAGAATTATTTGCTATACACAAAAAGGGGAATCAACTCAGATGTCCATCAATTGGTGAATAGATAAACAAAATATGCTGTATCTATACAATGGAATGCTATTCAACAATAAAGAGGAATGAAATAATGCTAAGTGAAAGAAGCCAGTCACAATAGATCACATATTGTGTGATTCCATTAATATGAAATATCTAGAACAGGCAAATCTATTGAGTCAGAAAGTAGATTAATGGCTGCTTCGGCTGGGGGTAAGGAAGATAGGTGGTGATTATTAATGAATATGGGTGTTCTTTCTTTCATCTTTTTGAATAGAAATATTCACCTATGAAAAAAATCATCCTAATTCCAGAATATTTTCTTTGGGGTTTCTTTCTGGGGGTCATGAAAATATTCTAGAATTAGGTAGAAATGATGGTTGTACAATTTTATGAATAATGCTAAACACCACTGAATTGTACACGAGAGACAGAAGGGAAAAGAATACTCTAAATATTTAACAAAATGCATTTTTTTCACTTTGCTTTTATTCTATGCCATTTTTAAAGATTGTTGATGTGATGCCCTAAGTTGATTTCATGACCCTCTAATGGTAACATGACTCACATGAAAGTCATTGCTCTAGAATGCCTCCTCTGCTCCTCAGCATAGGGTCACTGTCCCGCAGAGTAGGTAGGTGGCAAGAAAGTTGTTTTTCCTAAAGCATCTTCCATCTGCTTCCCTGAGCTTTTAGTCCAACCTCTCCATGAAGACTCTCTGCAGCCAGCATCAGGATGCTCCACCACTGTTCCTTAGTGGGGACACTGAAGGCATTTTGGGTAATACAGTGCTTTGCTGTGCATGCACTTCTGGCCATCTAGCATCCCAGTCCCTGTCCACCAAATGCCAGTAGGGATCCCTAGTCATTCTGTCAACCAAAAATGTCCTGCTCCCATTTCCAGGTGCTCCTGGGGATGAGAAACACTGTCAGCTTTTGTGTATAGGAGAAGCTAACATCTGCCTAGCCTCCTAGCACCCCATTCTCCCATAGCTGGGTCAGGTAGGAAAAAACTTAGAGCTCTGATGTAAAACAGTTCTATGTGGTTGCACCCATTGCCTTATTAAAGAATGAAGACTAACTTTATTCTTTCTCATTCTCAGCTTAGAGAAGGGCAACTTTGACTTAATCACTTTTGTCTCCCTAATTACTTACATGGGGAAAGGGGGAGGGTATTGGATTTGCATTTCCATAAAATTTTTTTAAAAAGGCAACATTTCTCCCCTTATTTCAGAAATATGTAAAATACATTCAAGATGAAGAAAGGAAGCATAGTTCCAGCAGATAGAGGTTAAAGGGAAGTCTAGGCAGGAAGCTGCCCAAAATCCTTATCTTTAAAAAGTCCTAGGACATCCCTAGGATAAGTCTGGCTTACAGTTCCACTTAACTCAGGTTTCTCCTCTTCAAACAACTGGTGATTTGCAGATCATTCAATTCCCTCAAATAAGTGGAATAAATTGTCTTGATTTTCAATACATGGCAGAAAAAAAAATCTTGGTATTTACCTCCCTCCCCTGACCCCCAACCTATTTTCAATGGAGGTGGCTTTGGAAACTGGAGACTCTGCTTGCATTGTTCCAGAATTCCTCTTTATGGTTTTTGACATACAGAAGAGAAGAGGGCAGGTGGTAAGCAAGCTCTGAGGCAGAACTAAATTCCTTTGCTTTAGAAATAGACATTTGGTGATGACTGCACAGGGAGACTAACCCAGGATGGGAACCAGCAGCCTCAAAGGCTGAGCCCTGCAGGGCAAAGAGGGAGGAGGGAGCCAGCAGGCGTGCAGAAGAAACTCTGTGGGAGACCGGAGTGCAGAGCCTGCGGGTGAATGTGGTGAGCCCTTCTTCCCTGCAGAATTTTACGCTTTGCTCACTAATGCTCTAGTGTCAACAGAGGTTTGCTATGGGAAGCTTGAACAAAGGGCCAAAGGGCAGCCCAGACAGGGGTTCCAAACAGAGGTGTATGATCTTTATTAATAGAAATCTAATGTCCTCTGTTCTTATCAATAAATATTGAACATTTGAAGAACATTGGTTTAAAGGAGCAAGAATATTTAACTTGTTCATTGTATTCCCACATCTTGATGCTGCCCTGATTACCACCAGCTTTTTTCCCTTCTCCGTGTAACAGGATATTTGCATGCAGATAATATGCTATAACATAAACTTTTGTAGAAGGTGTGGACTAGAACAAAGGGCTTTAGAGTCATGAAAACACGAGAGTCTGCAAAACATAATTAGCTCCGTGTCCTTGCGCAGGTTAACTTCCCGTGTCAGTTTCCTAATCTATAAAATGGGCTTAATAATAGTAATCTTGGTGAGTGGCTGTGAAGATTAAAAACAAGGTATGTAAAGCATTTAGCACATTTCTCAGTGCAGAAAACAAGGATCAGAGGTTAAGAAACATGCCCAGGGAAACATGCTACTATAAGCAGTGAAGCAGTATAATTAAGCAATAAAATAAATCTCAGTTCTGGGTTTCAGGTAGCCCCCGCCTGCAAGTCTGCCCTCACACGGTAGATAAATCACACTCGTCAACCGCAAGTGTAGGGAATCAAATTACTTTTAGTTTCTATTTAGGTTTTCCTTTAAGCCAGTCTGAGTTTCTATTTTTCTTCCTCCCCATGCCTCTAAGAAACTTCTACCTTAGCTGCTTTATCTTCATCTCCAAATCATTCTTTTGCCTAAAACCAATGTTAGCCACTTCACTCATCCACTGACTTTTTGAGGTTTCTAGGGCTGCCAGTTGTATAAGAATTTTAAGACACATGGTTACTTGAGGGAGCTAGAGTCGCTTGTTAAGAACTAAGCTACTTCTCCTTAAAATCTTTTTTTCTCACTTCAAGAAAAAGGGTAAAGAAGATAAGTTTAATTCTACCACCCAAAGAAAAACCACTTAATTTTTTTCTTCCAGATTTAAGTTTATATACATATTTTTTAGAGTAAATGAAATCATACTGTTTTAGGTACTCTTTTCTCCATTATATTGTGAACCTTTTCCCCGTCCTTAAATGTCCTTCAAAAACGTTATTTTTAGTGGCCATTAAACTAATTCTATGGTCCTGTTTTATGTTTTCACCACTATAAAGTAAAGCTTCAACTGTGCTGTTCTTATCAAATTAAAAATGTTATTATCTATGATTGACTAAAGACTACATATTTAGTAATCATTAGTTTAACTTCTAATAATGTTTGATAAATATATTGTTTGGAAAGTGAAGTGGAAAAATTTACTTTGTTTCACAATGCTATCAATTAGGAATACTTAAAAAAAATCTTAAACATTCATAAAGATCTGAAAATCTCCCATGATTATATTTCTACAAGCTACATAGTATTTCTACTATTTAATGTTTCACAACTTAGCCTTTATTTTCAAAGACAAGGCATTTCCTGTTTACAGCTTTATGGGGATAGGGTAAAACAGCAGTTTAAGGCTATAAAAGGCATTCTCTGAAGGACCTTCTGGAATTTATTATGCTTAAAAGTTCTCATGTGTGTCCAGTAATACAAATATGTTATTTTTAAAAAAGAGTAAAGTACTCTTATTTTTCTGGTTAAAATAATGAAGATAGAGTTAAATGCAGAATATTTAAATCGTAGTTTTCTTAACATTTAGAAAGGATGATCGTTTCCTATTTTACAAATGGCTCTATTTTCCTTATTTTCTCTCCATGAATCCACGAGTGTGTCCGTAAGGACAGGACCCAACAGTGGGGCAGTCACAAGTCCACTTATCTGGTAGCCTCCTATGGCTGCTCAGCTCCCAGTTTTCCAGATCCACATATTCCAGTCACTGGCAGTTGGCTCACCACATTTGACCCACTGCAGCCTTTTTAGAGCTTCCCGAGGTCAGCCTCTCTCCAAATCCCTTGAATTATCAGGTTTCTGAAAGCTGATGTGGAGAAAGGTCCCAGGACCTCCTTTTCTTGGGTAAAAATGGCACTTTTTCATATGATTTTAGGGAGCTCTGACATTGGCAGGTTTCACACAGATATAAAACTGCAGCATTATTATTTAGAGGCTATTCTGGGGCAGTACCACTCTGTAGGAACCAATGTGGAAACGCATGGTGGTGTTTTTTAACATCTTAATGTTTGGAGGGCTCCACTGGCTTCCAGTGGGTGGTGGCTAGGGGTGACAGATGCTTTGCTGTCCAGCAATTTGTTGTAAGGTCTCACATAAGTAACTGTTTACATTTTGCATGGTTGTATTTTTGAATGTCCTGCTGGTCATTCATGTAGGTCACAATTCTGTGTGTAATTATTTTAGCCCAGAATCTAATTGTTTGGCATATAAGCACAATACATTTCCCCCACAATTTTGATAGACACTGAAATTTCTAGGGCTGCAATTCTGTGTCAGAATTGTTGGGGAGACCACACTTTACTTATTCCAAACTGCACAAGAAGTTGTTTTCTTTTTTGGAAAATGCAGTCACCTGCTGTTTCACCAACTCACCCTGATCAATCTCATCTGTAGCTATTTGTAGCTTTCTGTAGCTCTCTCAATCTGTGGTTATTCTGTGAAGAAGCCCAAACCTTGGGCAAGTTGATCACATCTTCCGCTGGCATTGGGCCCGTGTATTTTTATGTGGAAATATGTGTTTTTTATTACATTACTTTTTCTTCTTTATATTCATATAAAGGCTTCAGTCTTATTATGGAGGTACATACGTAAGTAGGTTTTACTTCATGTAAACTTCATTTGAAAGTGGTAAAGGAGCTTTACCAAAAGGGGGGCATAGAGTCTTTCAGGTCTGAAAAGCATCGATTTGTAAGAATAATGGTAAATGAACTTTGGACAACTCATTCTGGATTGCCAGTGAGCTTAGCTGGACCAAGCAGGATGTGTTGTGAGCAAATACATCCCTTTTAGGGAGCCACAAGCCCCACAAACCACTGACCTCTAGCGTGATCCTGTTCTTCACCAGGAGCCCAATCTTGATGTCCATCAGGTTCAGGTCTTTCTCCCGCTGTTGATTGCCTCTGATCTTGGTCACCACTTCTTCCCTTAATCGTGCAACCTCCAGCTCCTCCTGGAAATCCAGGTTACTTTGGTCCAGCAGGTGTACAAATTTTCGGATTACTGTTAATGGTGGGTTTTCAGAGCCAACTGCAGGGAAAGGAATAGGAAAGCTTTAATTAGGCATGCTTGGAATTATTATCAATAGGGAAGAAACCAGCACTTACATAAAGATGTACCAATGGAAGTATTTGGTCTCTGGAATAAATCCTCTTGCCCCATGTAAAATTTGGACAAGGTAACTGATAATTTCAATAAATGCACACCACTGATCATGTCTGGCCTATTTTCTAGTTATCGAATACTCATTTATCAGCCCTTTCTCACACTGTTTCCCGGACTCATGCACTGATAAAGTTCTATCTATCCATGCCTTATTAATGAGGAACCTGGGAACGGATGTTAATGTAAGTAACTTCAACCCTGACAACTGTGGCTCAGCCAGATAAGAGATTTCTGTTCTTGCTGCAGGAAGGTGGAAGTGGTTTTTCTCAGTCCAAAAGACCTTTGGGAGTGAACAGTAACTAGATGAAAGGGGAATTAAGGAAGGTCAACAAAGGGAGAGCCATAAGGCCAACCTTGAGCTGAAAGAATGACTAAAGGAACATGTGTCCTACTGGCAGAAATACAATGGTTTTTAGAAATTGCAATTTGGTTCATGTTCTTTCTGCTTGGACCAAGTGAGGGCACTCAGAACCTAGCAGACCAGCTTCAGCTGTTGAGAGAGGTATCTATATAAATTCTAGAAGGGCTTTCCTTAAGTGCCTTGATTATTAATTATGCTTTAACTACCTGGAACTCTAACTTCTGAAAAAAATATTTTTTAAAGGTGTTTAGTGAGGTCTACTCGGGGTGAACTATAAGAATCAATGGTCTGGACCTTCAGTGTTGAATGATTACACACAGTAATACAAAGATGACTTGATAGAGCCTAGCCCAGCTGTGGCAACCTCAGTCACCATCCTCTCCTTCACATCTAAGGCCCCGTTCCTTCCAGCCTGGGTCTGTGATGTTTTGACACTCAAGATATAAAGAGTTAAACCAACACCACAAATAATGAACAGCATGAATCCTGTGTGAACAACCAAATCTAGAGTTATCTGTATTATTATTCTGTACTTCAGAAGGTCTCTATTGGAGAAGTTATCTTGGATGACAGTACCTACCATTTCCTGATTACTGAAGCATATGTAAGTTTATTTTCCTACCATTTCTAGTAAAGCTGTTGCTAATGACATGACTATTTCAGAAAATGCCTGAGCAGTGCCTCAGAGCTCATATGTACTAAGTTGAGAGAACATGGGCCATCACATTTGGTCTTAAGTTCTCTCTCCTGATCCTATGTATGGGCCAACAAGCTAGTTTAGAAACAAATAAAATGTTAGCTTTACTAATTATTATGGTTCAAATGTAATGTTTCACCTATCAATGGTAGGCTTTTTGATATCTTCATGTGAGATATCATGATATCTTCAAAGTGGGAGTCACTCTGTGGTATTTTAATCTCAATAAACCACAACACTTCATAACCAGCACTTACAAGTGGCCATATTACAGTTCAAGCACCTTCCAAGCTTAAATGTATTCAATGCCTTTCCAGAGGGGACAGGTGAAGACGGATCATGGCAGACTCAGAAAAGAGATTTTTTTTCCATATTTGCCAAAGCCCAGAGTAGCTTAGATCTAACTTATTCACTAACATGGTTTCTATCTACCTCCTCTGCTTTAACATAATATCATCTTAATTTTTTAACTGGAATTTGTTGTCTTAGTACTTAAGAAAAAAAGGCAACCAAGTGAAAAGCATTACCACAACTACCCACAAAAACATGTTACTAGAATGAAATGAAAAGCAGCCTGTGTGCACTGTATTCTTAAATAGTCTTTCATGTGCAAAGGCAATAAACAGCAAACCTGTTTTAGTGTGGAAGAGCTCAGAAAACCACCCCCTATATTCAGCTTTCTTGTCAAAAGGCTAATGGTATCTACCAACTGAGAGATGAATCTCCTTAATTCAGAAGTGGAAAAGTATGGCATTGAGAAGACCGGCTGATCCTTTCTTACTCAGCTGGCATATTGAGTTCTAGGATCTAGTGGAATGAGGCATTGTCCAGTAGATTCTGCAGACTGTAGGCAGACCCTGGCCTCTAAAGCTTCCTGGGCTTTTCCTTAACGAGTACCACAGAAGATCTTTCTTGAGCCATATACTTCAGCCCATAGTCCAGATAGACTTTAGACATTAAGAGTCTAAAGTCTTTTAATTTCAGACTTTAAAAATCTAAACATTTAAGACATTAAAAATCTCAAGTCTTTTAATGGAAGGGCATTAGCTAAACTCCTTACTAGCCAATGTGCTAGGAGTAGGAACATTACATTTTTACTTCCTCCTAAAAAGAAAGAAGGCAGAGTTAGAGACAACATAATGGCCATTTTTATTACTAAGAGCGGCAAGTAATAATTTTTTGCCTTCTCAAAATGAATTTGAATGATCTAAACAAAAGATATAGAAAATTTGGGCAGTACTAGTAAATTTATCACAGCAGGCTCTTCTCAACCTCGGACTGGTTCTTAGTCTATCACATGTTCTTGTGGTGATTAGAATGTTAAAAATTCAGCATATAATGAATAATCTTCACTATGAAAAAAACAGGATAACAAACATATGCAGAGATGGGACTGTAAAAGGACAGCACAAAATGTGAATCCTATTTCTGGATGATTTTTATTTTATTTTGCTGTTTTCAAACTTTGTACAAATGGTGTATACCGGTATAAGAAAAAAAAAACCCACAGCTACTGTGAAAATCCTAGGATGAAACAACAGGAAGATGTAGTTATCTTTGGGACATGAGACCATGTGTTTTTTTCCGTCTTTTTCATATTTCCAAAATTTCTTATAAGAATGTGTTTTATTTTCAAAATGAGGGGGAAAAATCATAGGCCAGCTATAGCTCAAATGTAAGCTTATCTTCTGGCTCTTTTGCCTTAGAGTCCTGCTGTACCTCAAGTTTAATATAAAAATATCAGCATTTACATTTTTTTTTGAAGAAGAAATCATGTCAGCTCCATTTAGTCCTTCCACCTACAATTAAGAAGGCCCATTTTCTGTCATCACACGTTCCTTTGTGCACCAGCTCAGAAACTGGGGCCTGAGATGATCAGTATCTATTGGAAACAAAGGGTGTTCTTGGAGCAGCCTCTGAAGTGACAAAGGTGGAAGTAACTTGTTCTTGCCTGGTTTAGAAGGAATCCATACTTTATTTCAGAATATAGATGGTACCCAACTTGGGATGGTTCACCTTATGATTTTTCAACTTTATAATGGTGAGATGCCATGAGATATTTGACACTTTATTTTAAAATAGACTCTGTGTTAGATGATTTTGCCCAACTGCAGGCTAGGGTAAATGTTCTGAGCATGTTTAAGAGAGGCTAGGCTAAGCTATGATCTTTGGTAGGTTAGGTGTATTAAATGCATTCTTGACTTAAAATATTTTCAACTTATGAGGTGTTTATTGGAATCCATCCCCATCATAAGTTGAGGAAGACCTGTACTCACACTTACCCAGTGTTTTGTAGTCATCTCTAGCTTTACTTGCTCTCAAAAGTGACTGGATTTTCACAATTTCATTTTTCTGCAAAAGAGTAAGACTAGTCATGACCTTTACAAGTCCCATTTCCTCTATTATTTTAGAATTTAGAACTACTTAAGAATGGACAGTATTTAAGAATGGAACACTATTTAGAACTGACAATATTTAGATGTGATGTATTCAATGTTTATTTTTGCATTTTCTTTGAAGAAAGGGTCAGATAAGTTAGCTAAAGTATAAACAAGATTGTATGGGGACTGTTTAAATAAAAATATCTAAAAACGGAAAAGAATTTTAGCACCAAACTTGGATTATCCCATCTACGTTCACATATTTATTTTTTAAATATCCTGAAAAAAATTCCTCCTGTGGACTTCTACTGAAAAATTAATTTTAGCAGTTAGAAAAACTTTACAAGCAATGGTAGAAAACACTTCTTTTGCATCTTTTCTCTATGCCATTACTAGCTCACATCCATTTCCTCTCACCCATATCCTGTCCAGTCCTGATTGGTGAAGCCTCATGCTGAACACGAGTTCTAAATAAAAAGCCTCCAAATATTATCACAATGAGTTCTAAGACCTCTTTCTGTCTCCTACTGTTCATTTCCATCATTTAAAAATCATTCAGTGCTAACATTCAACAAAGGAATCTTTTAATTATTTCTCAGCCAGGATGAAAATCCACATGTGTGTCTTACATGATCTCTGAAATACTGCAGTCGTGCAAGGTAATTTTTTCGTGCTGCTAACATCCGGAACCAGGACTGAATCTAAAAATAAGTAGAGAAGTAGAGGCAATTACCAAACAACATTAATATCTTTTTATGTAGTCTAAAGTAATATTGATATTTGATAAAAAAATTAAAATGAGCAACCTACCAAATAATAAACATTTAAGGCCTCATCTTCATCTTCTATTTCTTTCATTGCTTTTTCTCCTCGGGGTTCAAAGTAATTTACACATTATGGTGGGGAAGGTGATGTAGCTGTGTGTCATGTTGTTTTAATCTCAATAAATAAAAACCAAGAAGGCAGCTCTTTTGCTGAGAGTTTCAGTGGGTCAGGGAATCAAATTAAACTATGTCCAGGGTTTCTTCCAACCTCCCTTCTATATCCAATATCTTTAGGTCTTTATAGGAAAACACCTAGAGAAGCCTCATGAGGAACCAATGGTGGCCAACAGTTTCTGAGGGATTAGGCATGTGTTCCACGGTGAGCACAGGACATTAAGGAGCTGATGCACAATGATCTAGACCATGTCATTCTCTATCTTCACAGTTTAAAAGTCTTTTAAACCAATTGCATGTGATTCCAACCTCTATCCAGCCTCCCTCTTTTGACTCTCATCTGGATTTCCAAGTTGTCTCCAAGCTCATTTCTGTATAGTCTGTTGGCTTCAGCTCTGGAGAGTGGGCTCCCCAGTGCCTTGTCTTTCTCTAACTCAGAGCTATTAGTCGGGGTGACAGCTGGGTTGGACTGGCTCAGCCACATACAGATACTCTCTTAGCTCTACTTCTTCCTGTCATTGGTTTGGCATTTGCTTCACAACTACAGTTTTGTACTGGTAAGTTTGAGCATTCTAAATATTATTAGTGAAAACATTAAGAGGAACATGAAATAAAGCTGGGTTTCCCCCATACTTTAAGTCACCTATTTGGATTTTCTAGAGAAAGAGAATTGATTGGTTACAAAGCTCTTTCACCATTTGATTCTCATAATGACACAGAGGATCTGAGACAGTTAGTGTTTTAATGGACTTGTTTGAAGATGACCAGCTATGTGAGTAATGGAGGTGGGAATTAAACCCAGGATTTGCTTCTGACTTCACAGCTCATACATATTCCTTCTACAGGTTGTATTCTAGAAACAAAACTAAAATGAAGGGAAAAGTTTAAATCAAGCACTTGATGAGCTAGGAAGGGAAGGGATGTTTACCTTCATAATAGAAGCAATATTATCAATGAATGTTTGCCGCCTGCACATATATTCTGTCCGTTGTTTATGTCCCTTCCAAAAAGCCTGTGGAAAATAGTGAGTTACAGAATTACTTATGTGCAACAGTTTCCCACAGGTTATTTTAGAAAGCTCAAGAACACAGCACATCTCAGGAGATATCAAGTTGGGACATTGTCAGGGACCCTCCCTTCCAAATCTCTCATGGGTACTGTATCTTGGGATGGACATTAAACTAAGCCATGTAGACCAGCTCACAGTTGAGGCTTGTTCCAAGCTCAGGAAAGGAGTTACTCAGTAGAAGGCCAGTTTTCCACTTTACCGATTTCACAAATTGGGTGGCAAGTAGTAATTATAAAATAGGATTGCCTTGAAATATACAAAGAGAAGAACTGGGTGCTAATATTATTTGGTAACAACATAAGATGCTTCAAAATAATGACTAGTAAATATCTTTAGTCCAACAAGTGACTCACTTTTAAAACAGTCCATAATAGTGTTAGAAATAAGGCAGCATAGGGATAAAAAATACTATGAAGGATCATAGAAGAGAGAAGGCAGCTGTAATTGGACTGAAGGAGGAAACACAGAAAAAAATTCCATAAAAATGCAGGAACACATACAAAAAATGTGGAGTGGCTCTAAGCCTGTGGGAGCCTGCAACAGCAGAGTAATTTTGGGAAAGTGGTCATCTTATCTACTTGCTAAATAGTGGACAAAAAAAGCATTGTTGGGGGAGTGGAGGGTGGGAGACATACAAAAGAGTATATAGCTTTTTTGGCAGGAATTTAGCAATATCAAATTTAAAATTGTTTAGTCTTTCACCTAGTGTTTCTAATTTTCAACATATCTAGCCTATGGAAATACAAGCGCCTGAGTAGAAAAATGATATGTAAGGATTTTTGGTGTGGCATTGTTTGTAATATCAAAAATGTGTATAGAGCAGAATGTTTACAAATAGGGAAACAGCTAGATAAACTGATTGCACCTATATTGAAGGATATTTCAAGGCAGTTAAGAAGACAGAGGTAGAATCACATATACTGACTGGAAGTGTTCTGTGTCTTAAGTAATAGGATAATCTCCAAGATACACTAAGAGAAAAAGGAAATTGTAGTTTACCAGACATGCTGTGATATGTGTTCACAAAAAAAGAAAAACATAAAACAATAATATATAGTTCTATACAAACAGTCTGTACTTAATGCCTAGAAGAACTTGGTGACAATTTCTTAGTTTTCCTTCATCTGAGAATGCCTTTGATTTCCTCCTTCATTCATAAAGGATATTTTTGCTGGATCAAGAATTCTGTGTTGATAGTTTTTCCTTTCAGCACTTTAAAAATGTTGTGCCATTTTTTCCTGGTCTCCATAGGTTCTTATGAAATATCTTCTAAAATGAGAACTGTTTCTCCCTATAGATGTTATTTCTATCTTATTGCTTTCAAGATTTTTTCTTTGTCTTTTGTTTTCAGAAGTTTGACTGTGATGCAACTTTGTGTGAATTTGAGTTTACCCTATTTGGGTTTTGCTGAGCTTCTTTCTTTCTTTCTTTATTTTTATTTTTGCTATCATTAATCTACAATTACATGAAGAACACTGTTTACCAGGTTCCCCCCCTTACCAAGTCCCCACCCACACCCCACTACAGTCACTGTCCATGCCTAGCTTCTTGAACGTGTAGTTGTATGTCTTTGGCCTCGCTTTGGAACTTTTCAGCCATTATTTCTTCCGTCCTCTGGGACTCTGATCACAAAAATGTTAAATCATTTGTCATAGTTTCAGCTCTCTTGAGGCTCTCTTCATTATTCTTTCAATCCTTTCTCTCTGTTCAGATCTGGTAATTTCTATCTCTGGTTTACTGATTCAGGTCTGTGTTCCCTCTATTTTGCTATTGAGCCCATCCATTGAGTTTATACATGTTATTGTATTTTTGTAGTTCCAAAATTTGTTTGGATTTTTACAGCTATTTGTTTTCTGAGATTTTCTATTTTTTTCCTCTGTTTCCAGTGTGTTCATAATTGCTTATTATAACATGTTATGATGGTTGCTTTACAATCTTTGTTAGATAATTATAATATCTCTGTCATCTATGGGTTGGTATCTATTGATTTTTTTAAATTAAAGTTTTAATTTGCTTAGTGCTTAGAATGTTGATTATTGGTTGAAACTTGGACAATTTGGATATGATGTGATGAGACTCAATCTTATTTAATCTTTCTGTTTTATGTGGCTTTCCACGACATTGTTCTGGCAAGGGAAGAGGGGTGCTACTTTATAAGTAGGAGTAGAAAACTGGGTTCTCCACCTGGTCTGTACTGATACCAGAGGTAAGGAAGGGTTCCTCATTTAATGTGAGGGTAGGGGGAGCTCCAATTACCCACCACGCTTCTGCTGATACCACCCAGCCTGGGAGGATAGGAGTGCCTTGTTACTACTCCACGTGGTCCTGGTGGCCTTTGCAACACTGGAAGGCTGGAGGTGGGGGTAGCCTCATTACTACTGGATGGTGATGAAAGTCCTGACACTACACCAGGCATCCTTTGACACTGCCCAGCAGGGAGAGGGAGGGTTGCTACATTACTGTTTGTGGGCATGGAAATCCAGCCCCACAGGTATCTGGGCACTTTGTTACAATCTGCAAGGGTGGAAGGCTAGGCTCCCCACTTGGCCTTTGCTGGCATGGATGGTGTTCGGCTACAGTTTTTTCTGTGGTGTTTGGCTATAACAGTGGGGTTATTATCTTAAAGTTTTCTGTCTTGCTGGGCTGCACCTTTCCTAGTCCTTTAGCTAAAGAGAACAGGCTTTTGTTGGAGTGTTTTTGTCTGTACCCATTGGCATTTCTGAGTTGTTGGCCACTTGAGCAATAAGTCGGGGATATATGAGGTTAAAAGAAAACCAGAGAACTAATCTCTGTGTTCTTCCTTGGGTCTCAAAGTTTGGAGCCAGTCTGTTTTTTTTCTCTTCATCTTTCTAAGTGTTATATATGTTTGTTTATATATTATACCTGGGGTTTTAGTTTTATTTAGAGGAAGAAATAGGGAAAAGTAGCTGTATTCCATCTTCCCAGAGTGGGAGTTGAGCCCAAATAGTTTCTAATCCCAATATTTTGTAATTTTCTATACCATGAAAGTCATATGAATTTATTCCTTGGCAGGTTACAAGGTTTAAAAAAATCAGAAGTATAAAAAGTAGTTATGATTCAAGAAGGCCACCTAGAAAACTATTAAAACTAACAACTTTTCCAGGTGATTAATTGTAAAATTAATAAATGAACTTCACAAATTTTCTGTATGTCCAAAATAAACACAATAAAGATAACATTCACAGTATCAAAAAAATTTAAATAATGGAGTAAACTTAAGAAATAGGAAGCAATAAAACTGTTACACTGTATGATGGGACAGATTAATGAATGCAAAAATAAACTAATTATGGAAATGGAAAGTTCATTATTGTAAAGATGCCAATCTCCTCAAACTAAAGCTTCAATGCAATCATAATAGAAAATTCAGGAAAGGCCTTTAGAAATTTTCCAAATGCTTTTGAACTAACTATTGAAATAAGCACATGGTTTTTCTCCTTTTAGCTATTACGGTGATAATTATAGAGGAAGATCAATTATGTGAGGGTTTAATAGTGAAGTGAGCTTCACAGTGCTTCTCAAACTTTGTGTATAGAAAATTATCTGAGGATCTTCTTAAGATGCAAATTAAGGTTCAGTAGGTCTTAGTGGGGCTTCCAGACAATGACAATGCTGGTATGTGCTCCATTGTAACGAAGATCTAAACAAAGATAAAGGACTTTTAATTGCTCATCCATTTAGAAAATGCCACCATGGGATTTGTCAGTGTGGTGTTTCTGAGATGATGGGAAAAACTGCTGATGTCACCAACTATTGTTCATAAATGCTGACAGTGACTAGAGGAAGTGGAAACTAATTGTGGGTGACTGGCTTCCATGGCAACCTAACTAATAATGTATTGGTTGTAATGGCTTTTATTGGTGGTTCATGTTTTTGTAGGTAACACTGTTTTAAAGCACAGAACTGCAAATGAGATATTACATACCCCATTCCAGGATCCAAACTGAAAGACAAACAAAATACTGGGATTAGTTTAACTTCTCATTCTGCTTTTCTGGAATTATCTGAACTCCAGAAACACTATTAATCTCTATTAGCTCAAATTCAGAGACATTCTGTATAAGTGATCTGTCATAGTAACAGATGATCTAATGTTGAAGCATTCTTGCATTGGTGCAATGAGCCCACATGTCCATTCTGTACTAATTGTTAATATACTAAGGATGTAAGGCTTACTAGCAGTATTTTCCTTGACATTTTATTTTGTGTTTCAAATCTTTACTGATTCTTCATATTTTTCCAGAATCCTTTTACATTTACAAATGTTTTATTATTACCTTTCCAAACCAAGGCAACTTGGCTGGGTATAGAATTTTTGGTGGGAAAAAAAGAATTGTCAACTCAAAATCCTGTACCGAGTAAAATTATTCTTCAGGAATTAAAGGGAAACAAAGACATTCTCAGGTAAAGAAACCTAAGAGAATGTCACCTGCAGATGTATCCTAAAAGAATTGCTCATGGAAATTCTCTAGATAGAAAAGAAATGACAAAGGAGTTTTAAAACATCAGGAAGAAGCAGAATTTGTCAAAATTCTCAATTGTTTTTCAGTTTGTTAGTTTTAGTTCCATCAGGACTGGCTTTTCTTATTCAGTACTAACAAAACTTGTGTGCAAGGCCATGAGCCTGCAGGCTCTTCTAATTTGAGGCTGTTCATTAACAACAATTATGAATATAAAGTTGGAAGGAAGGAGCTATTGATAAAGATGCAAGAGGAGACAAAAATTCTAAACCATAAAGCCATTTCAGCTTTTTATAGGCAGTCAGAGACAAAAGGCATTTATAAAAATATCAATCTCCTTTTCTTGACTGTATGAGAACTTATGGGAAAATTCATAATAGCTATCTTTTAGTTTTGTTTTTATTACCATGAGTACATTTTTCTGTATCATCCACCTGTAACCAAGGAGTCTTTCAAAATATCTAGACTCACAGGTTACTGGTCTGTATTATAGACTGTAATTGTCAATTTCTAGAAAATCTGACCTTGCTTGGTAATTGGGCACCAAAGAGAGTAACATTTAAATTACCAATGGTACCTTCTGAAGCACAAATTCTTATGTGATTTCTAAGCCAAGAAAGTCCTATACACATCTATTTTCCCTCTCCACTTGAAGGTAAAAATCCAACAATCTGTAAGAGTGGTCAGTTACATTAAAACCATGTGATAGACTTTTGTATTAGGTCATCTCCCTGCCTCTCAGTCTGCAGACTGGCAATCTGAAATTGCTTTAGAGAAGATTGTTTCTTTTTCTTTTTCCAGATGCTTGTGGTACTTTCTGACCTGAAGTTCAGTAATTTAATAATTCCCACTACTATGTTTTGGTGTTTGTCATCATATTTTTTTCTAAAATTATTTTTCATGTCTGTTCTGCATTCTGCTGTTATAAGTTCATTTACGTTCTATGAGGTCATTATTTCTCTTCCTCTCTGTAGCTCTCAGTTATCTTTTTTGTTGTGTTGTCTTGTTTCACTAGGTCCATATCTTATTAAATTTCTTGCAAGCACAAAGGAGCTTCAGTATAAAAATTTCTTATCTCCTGAAATTAAGGTATCCTTAAATGTTTACTTCATTTATATTTTACAACAATTTCTTTTTTTAATATACAGTTTGCTTTTTTGTTTGAGATTTTTTTCACTCATTCTTAAACATAGGGAATTTTACCAGGGATTTCTTAATTAAAAAATAATATGGCCATTTCTCTGTCACTGCTTTCAAGATTTTCTCTCAAGAGATTTTCTCTCTCTGCAGTAAGAGAGAAAACACCTTACCTGTAGGGAAAAAACATATATAACAAATTATAGTGGATTTCTCGTAAGACACCTTGAAGGCAAAAATGAAGTGTCACATTTTTCAACTGGTGGGAAAAAAAGAATTGTCAACTCAAAATCCTGTACCCAGTAAAATTATTCTTCAGGAATTAAGGGGGAAATGAAGACATTCTCAGGTAAAGAAATCTAAGAGAATTTGTCATCTGCAGACGTATCCTAAAAAATCGCTCACGGAAATTCTCTAGATAGAAAAGAAATGACAAAGGAGTTTTAAAACATCAGGAAGAAAGAAAAAAGAAAACACAGTAAGCAAAAAATATTATTGAACACAATGGACGTTACTTTTCCTCTTGGGTTTTCTAAATTATGTTTGATTATTGAAGCAAAAATTATAAAATTGTATGATGCGGTTCTAAATGAATATACAGGAAATACAATTATCTTACAAAGGAGGGAGGAGTAATGGGATGTGAAGGGAGGAAAGATTTCTGCACATACATAAATCAAATCAGTAAAATGATGGCACCAGTGGATGGTGATTATATATCATCTATAGTAATACCTACAACCACCACTAAAAGAGCCAGACAAAGACATATACTCAAAACACTATAAATCAGAATAGAATTAAAAAAACATTTAAATTTAGTAACCCAGAGGAAGGCAGGTCAAAGAAAATGGAAATACAACAAAACCCAGAACAACAATGCATACATGGGAAAAGGGAAAAAGTCTCAAAACACTGACCTTAGGTCTCACCCTCAAGAACCTAGAAAAATAAGGGCAACATGAACCCAAAGCAGACAGAGAAAAAATAAAGAGCAGAGATCAAGGACATTAAAAACAGCAAAATAAGGAATATCAAGGAAACAACGACCTCATTTTTTGAAAGATCTATAAAAATCGACAAACCTCTTGCAAAAGTGACAAAGTCAAAAATGAGAAGACACAAAAGAATATAATCATAAGCAATGTTACTGTTGAATATAGAAACAAAAATCTTAGATAACATATTAGCAAAATATGACATATATTCCATGTAGTATATACTTACACACACACATTATGCATGTACGTGTGTGTTTAAATGTGTATATGTGGATACCCATACAAAGTTGTGGTTGCACAAAGACTTATTTATCACTGAAAAGGCTAATTATATAAGTTAAGACATTGTAAGATAAATTCTAGCTGAAATAAGCAGGCAAAGAGAGGCAACAAAGGGCCAGGTAATTTATTTGAATGCCCCTGGGCGAAGTTCCACGGTCTGGCTATCACTGGCCGGGGAAGTCACGCGAAAGTAGACAGGCAGCGAGTTTTTAAAGAAGGTAGGGCGAGGCAGAGCTTAGATTTACAGCGGTGCAAGGATTGGCTAGCCTAAGGAACATTTTTCAGGTTGGGAGGGGGCAGCAGCTGGGGACTTTGTCATGTCATCAGTGTCCGACATGCTCCTCCCTCCCCCCAGTGCCTTCAACCTTACAGACATTAATAAATTAAAACTAAAAATAGATTATCTCAATAGGTGCAAAACACTTAACAAAATTCACATTACTTTTTCAATTTAAAAAGCTCAACAAAAGAAAAAAAAACTCTTAACCAGAAAAAGGTTATTGAACAAAAATCCATAATATTATATCTGGTGAAATGTAAGAATCATTCCTTTTAAAATCAGAGTGAGACAAGGATGTCCATTATAACAAAAGAAAAAAGAAAAAAAAAGCCAATATGGCTGCATAGATTCTTCTTTACTTTCCTCCATGTTTGCTTGGCCATCTTCTGGTTTGTTCTGTAAGCATTCGAGACAGAGGCCTGGCTCTTACTGCTGTATATTCCGTGGACACGATTCAGTTCCCAGGCAGAAGCTGAGGGGAAGGGGCGGGCTGTGGTGTGGTGGGCCTCAGCCTGGGAGCTTTCCCTCTGAATGTGTTAAGACTACTGCGTCTGGGGCTGATTCCAGCTAGCCGTGGTTCTACGGAAGGAAGTCTCCAGATTTCAGATCTTTCCCCTAATTTTGGATGAATCAGCCACTTTGGCAAGAAATGAGATACCTTGACACCCTTTGGCTCATGGTGTTTTGGTTTTGGAGCTCAACAGGTTTCCATCAACTATATATTCATCTCCAGTTCGCAGCTTGCCTCTAGGCCTTAAGCCCTCCTTATTAGGCACTGCTGGGAAAGTGGGGAAAAAGGCATGGCGGGGTAACTTTACAGTTTGTTGACTGTTGCCACTGCTGAGGATGACCAAAAAGGCTCCAAACGATTTTCTGTTCTTCCTCCAGCCCCCTTGGGGGGTCCTGACATCGGACAGATTTTACCCTGGTGGGCTCTTCAGAAGAGCTCTATGATACGCTCTGTGTTCTGAGACTGTAAGAGCTTAGGGTTGGCCCAAAATGTGTCATGTCAGATGACACTCTCTGAATTCTGTGCAAAATTTGAGACTTTGCAGCAGTGTAGATGATTCTATCTTTTGGCTTTTGCTTATTTCAGGTGTTTTGCCTAATATTTGTTTAAAGAAGGAACAAAATGGAAACTTTTGATGGTTCAACCAGAAAAATTCTTCGAGAGTCAGGTTTATAGGAGAAATTTGTCTTGAAAATTAATCATTTCTGTTTTTTAACATCTTAAGATCTGAGCAAATTCAAACATTTGAGCACCTTTCATATGCAAGGCACAAGAATATGAAAGTTTTAAAAACTAATTTTCTGTCCTGAATGATATACTTTGGTGGAGGAAGCCAGTAAGTATACCAATGATCACAAAAGACAAACTCTTCAACTTCACAATGTTCCATTTAGGAAATTTCATAGTTACTGTCCAAAGCAAAAATCCATCAAACTGCCGGTCAATAAGAGTATCACTTTGGATGCACAGAACTGGACAGACACCCAGCTTGTCAGAACTCAGCAAGGGGGTTGGTAGAGGGTGCTAGGGGAATACAGAGGAGAAACATTTAGATCTGTTGAGCTCTCTTGCCAACCAGTGAGTTTGGACAAGTCCTGTAAACTTAAGAAATAAAAACAAGAAAAGCGAAAAAAATGGGAATAAGGGTTTCTCTTGCAGGCCTACTTAACAGATTGGATAAGGGAGAAGACAGTCCTGGAGATTGTAAATCTATTTCATTGGCTCTTCTGTTCTTTTAGGCTAGAAGAGCATAGCAATCCAGATACCATTCAACATTCACACACCACTAAAAACCAATTCATAAAGGACCCGAGTCAGAAAGTAGGTGACACAAGGAGATCCAGCTTTTGAGAGTCAACTCTGATTTGTGGTGTCCCTCTGGCTCTAGTGATGCTGGTGGCAGGTGGACCTGTGTAAATCCACAGTGTCCCTGAATATTCTCCAGAAGGCCACAGGTAAAAAAATCACGCAACATCCTTTCCATTGTAGAGCCTTTATAAAGCAGGCTCAGGGGTACTGATTAAGGAAAAAATCTGTACCTGGATTTGTTTATTAAAATGCTGGTAGTTGACTGTCCTCTTATCAAATAAAACATTTTCAGGGGATACAACTGTTTTGCTGTAATTAGTGGTAAGTGATTCACATACCTGTATTTTGACCACATGCTCTTCTTGGTCATACAAATACGATTTCCTAGCTTCATACTCTTTTCTAAGGAGCGATCCTGCACTTGTAGCTTTAAAGCGAAGAAGCAAATCTTCGGAAGCAGACCACATATTCTCACGAATGTGATTCACTGTGACATCCTCAACAATGTCCTGGCAAGATACATTTCTTATGGTTATACTTCACACATCAGGTGAAAGGAGCATATAGAATAGCTTCTGAAAACTGAATCTTTTAGAACATGATATGGATGGCTCTTTCCGGTTTGGTTTAAAAACAGATTTGACCAGAGCCAAGGGATGAACTGACTTAGCTTCTTCTTTCCAGTGATGCAATTTTGGAATCCTCTGAACTTTGTGCTAGGAGGGTGTAAGAATGCAGTGGAATGACCTCAAGATTTGGACCCAGAGATACACGAATGATGCCAGCAAGGACCAGACATGAGGCCTGGCACTAAGAGTGAAAAGGGGGCAAGGATGATTACACTAAGAATATGCACCATTTCCTCCCCACAGGGTCCACCAAGGAAAGGGCTACAGTGCCTATGAAGTTCTCAGGCTCCTCTACCCCCTTTTCTGACTAGGCTGGGGTAGGCAGACCCCCACAATAAGCTGGGAGAAACTCAAAAAAGAAATTTTTTGGGAAAAATGTCTAGGGCAGAAGGAAAGGGGATGAAAAGGTAAAACAAGTGCTATCCTGGGAAACCTAGATGAATGGGAAAAAAGGAGCAAGGGAGACTGTGAAAAGTCTCTGTGAATTATGAACTTCTATGTTCTTTGAGAGATCGAAGCAAAGATTGGATTCATTTCTATGGCTGATGCCTCTTATCTAGTATGATTGGAGTCAATGGATAGTTAATTTAAAAGATTAAAAGTGAAATCATATAAAAGATGCATAAACACCTTTAAGAGAAGACATACATATATATATATATATTCATTGATTAAAATTCATTGGTTAAAATCAGTAATTTTAGATTGTCTAGAAGAAATAAAATTTGTTTTTACCATGTAGACCCTCCACTTCTTAATAATCCTAAAAGAATGATGCTCAGTTTCACAAAGTTTTACCTAGGGCATGTTAAGATGCCACGTTGAGTAGTTTTTGGTGCTGAATTTTAACCCTTTGATGCTGCATCTTCAGTTTGATATATTTTTTCAAATATAGCATATGGTTTTAAAATGTGGTCCATAATTTCATTTTTCAACAAAGTGACATTAATAATTTATTGCCACAATGCCATTTTCCTGGAAATTGTGGGAACTATGAACATTAGAAATTAGTTAATGAGCTATGCTCTTCACTATCTTCTTGTCATTCAGAATTTCTGGTGGCATTGTCAGCCCCAGGCCATGGTTTCTTCTCTGAGTTTTAGTAAAGACCGTACTGGTGATCCTGTCCACAGAACTGCTATACTATGGTATCTTTGATGCTGGTGACTTTGAACAGTTCTATAAGATTTACATTTGTGTATTCTATTTTTTTCAAAAAAACTCAGTTACTATCAGTGTTTTCCCTTTAAGCATACAATGCCTAGGTCAAACAGCAATTTTCATATCTTTTGTATCCAATTTCTGGTTTCAAGTCCAAAGCAATCTTGGTGAACATTCTCCAAAAGCATTTCCCCCTAGGAAACATTACTCACTTTTTAAAAGATCTAGATATTTGTGTGGTAGGCTAGAGGGAGAAAGAAAGAAGACATTTTGAATAGTGACAGCCAAGGAATTGTCAAGGAAAACATAAAGATTGATTTCTTAGAGTAAGTCACCATCCCAGGTGAGCTGCAGAAGCGTTCTTCCCCCTGCTGTTTGGTGTTGTTATGCCAATATGGAAAACATTCCAAAAGTTAGTAACCATGCAGCTACTCCAGCTGCAGGTCATGAAGATTTTACTCCATATCCAGCCTTCAAATAAATCAAATTCACTTCCATGATTCAAAAATAGCAAAGCAATCACACTTATCTTTAAATAGCACAGTTTTCTGTCAAACATGATCCTCCTACCTCAATTTCTTTTGGCATGAGCCATGATTCTCTAAGCAAGCATGTTTCAGGTAAGGCCCAGGAACTCTCTTTTGAATCGATGTTGTAGTAATACTCATATTTGTCCTGCAGCATGAGTTTGAGCCATGGACCTTCAGTAGACACTGAAGAAAAAAAGTTTGTTACATTCTATAAAGGAACATGGAGCCCTTCAACATCAATGTATTTTCTTCAATATGTAAAATAATCTAATGCAGACGTATTTTATGAAGCAGTCGGGTGGTCAAAGTTAAAATCATTAGCAATGACTCACTAGAATGGAGTGAATTCTATGTATTCAATGGCAGCTCCCTGACAAGCCAAAGAAAAAAGAGGAGAGACTGATGTCTAACGGTAGCTCTGGATCCAAAATTTCTCATGAGGATGACAGGATCACACATGGCCAACAAGAAGGAAAAGTAGGATAGAAGAGTATGCCCGACAAGTGAAGAGCACCCCCAGCAGACGGAGGAGACCAACAAGCAAGAATCCTCTGCTTAGAAAGTCTTCCAGCAACTTCTGAGGAGTGATCTACAAGGACTGTGACCTGTTATTTAAGAAAGGCCAATGATGTGCATTAAACCAAAACAGAAATGACTCATTTTTGCAGACAAACTTATCCAAGGCACAAAATGGCATTCACAAACACTAAGGTCACCAAGTAGGAAGAAGGAATATTCCTGGTTCTCATCTTGATATAAACAACCACACAAAATGGGAGGAAAATTGTCAAAGGGACTTAATCTGGGGGAAAGGGCATACTAGAAAAAAGTCTGTGGCAGTCATGGCTTAACTTGGTAAACAAGACTCTCTCTCCCTTCTCACGGATCCATGGGTTACATGTCCTATTTAGAAATCCGTTTAATTTGTTGAATGATCATGATTCCTGTCCCAGACCAGAGATCTAAAACCAAAAAAATAAAAAAATAAACAAGTTCTGACAGAGACAAATCTAAGCCAGTGACTGCCAGGTGAGCAGTCGACTATTTGTCTTTAAAGGTAAATCAAAAGTGAAGTGAACTTCCTCATAGAACTTAAATGATTCAAGAACGAAGCAGAAATAACTTTAAGGCTCTTACGTGTGTTGTTTACGTTATTTGGCTCTACATGCCCTAAACTGTTCTATTTGTCAGTGCCCAGGAAGAGAGATGGATAGATCTCTTCAGATGGGCAGAGAGACAGCTGTTACCTGTTTAGAAATGCTGATCTACTAGAAAATATATTGTACATATTAGGGTAATCACAGGTAATCATTGTATTTTCAATCACCAGTAGTAGTCTCATTCACAAATGTTTTCAGAAGAACAGACACACCTTTTTAAGGCAACTCTCTCAGTAGAAAGCAAAGCAGGTGAACAAAGATGGTGAAAGTGGGTATCTTCACTTATTCACATAATAACTGAGAAGTAAAAGGGTCTTGGTTAAAAGCCAACCACACTGGCTTTTATTTGGGTTGGGATGTCAGTGGATAATAGGAAAAGAGAATTCCTTTCATTTTTACATCAAGTATGCATTTACAGTCAGACAAGAGGCTTGGGAAGGTGTCTCCAGCACAAGGCCCAAAAATTTTTTTCTAAGAAATGTAGTTGTTTTTTTATTTAGGGAAAAGACTAATTATGGGCTTTGAGGAAACCAATAAAAGAGAAGGATTCTGTTACTCAAGAGGTAGTAAGCATTTTAAAAAAGGACATACTCTCTAGATACCTTTCAGACAAAATTATACCTATACATAAGAACTAAACTGAGCTGTAAGGCTGAGTGATCCACCTAAGAGTGGACACTTCAGTTTGGGAAAGAAAAGACATTACAGAGCCTGAGGTGAAAAAGATAAGAATAAATCATCCTGTCTACTCCCTAAATACAAAGTTCATCACTTTATCTGGGAGTGAAAATCAGTCTTTAATTGCCTGAAATCTCAGTCTTCTCCTCTTTCTTTTAGAACAGGGGTTGGAAACTTTTTCTGCAAAGGGCTAGGGAGTAAGTATTTTCAGCTTTGTGGGGTATAGGTCTCTAATACAAACTACTCAGTTCTGTCATTATAGCATGAAAGCAGCCATAGACAATATGTAAATTAATGAATGTGGCTAGGTGCCACTACAACTTTATTTACAAAAACAGGTGATGGCCTAAGGAATCCACTAAAAAACTAGTAGAAATGAGTTCAGCAAGGTTGCAGGATATAAGATTAATATACAAAAATCAATCATATGAAAATATGTCCATGCAAAAACTTGTATACAAATATTTACAGAAATCTTATTCAGAATAGCCAAAAATGGGGGGAAAATCCAAATTCCATCAATTGATGAATGGATAAGCAAAATGTGGCATATACATACAATGGAGTATCATTGTAATGTCAATGTTAACAGAATATTGTTCACCACAAAAAGCAATGAAGAACTGATACATGCTATGACACAATGAACTGTGAGAACATTATGTTAAGTGAAAGAAGCCCGACACAGTTTGATTCCATTCATATGAAATGGCCAGAATAGGCAAAACCATAGAGACAGGAAGTAGATCACTTAGATTCCTAGGGCTGAAACGGTCGGTGGGGAGCAATGGCTAATAGGTACAGTTTCATTTGGTATAATGAAAATGTTCTGGAACTAACTGGTTATATTGGCTATGTAAGTCTGTGAATATACTGCAAACCTCTGAATTACACATCTTAAAAGGGTGAGTTTTATAGTACGTGAATTATATCTTAATAAAAAATCAATTGTGTTTCTGTATATTAACAATAAACAACTCTAAAATGAAATTAGGAAAACATTTAGAATAGCATCCAAAATGATAAAATATGCAGGAATAAATTTAATAAAAGAAATGCACGCCTTACACACTGAAAACTAAAAAGCATTACTGAAAGAATTAAAGAAGACCTAATTAAAAGGAAAAACATCCAATGTACATGGATCAGAAGACTTAATATTGTTAAGATGGCAATACTCACCACATTGATCCATAGAGTCAACACAGTCCCTAACAAAGTCTCAGCTGTCCTTCCCGTCCCCTATCTCTCTTTTTTTGGCAGGCAAATGAATCTAAGTAACTCCTGGGTTCCTAAATTGCTTATCTGGGGATATTTTGACTCTATTCACCAGAACATGGCACATGGGAAGAGAAGTAGGCAAGTGTAGAGGAAAGAAGATAAATGAAGTTCGGGCCAGGATGGATTTGAAATGATAATAGGCCAAATATAGGACCCTCAACTCCCACATTAATAGCACTGTGTAATTCTTTCCACAGGAAGGATGAGGTAGGGACACTATGGGAAGCCCTGACAGAGAGGGTCTCAGGGTGATAAGATGCCAAATAAGGGAGAGTAGTCAAAGCCCTGTTCATATTAATTGACAGGAAATTAGCTCAAATGGAAGGTGCAATCTCCAAGTTGGAAATAGAGTAGACAAAGTTAAAGTAAGTACATGGGGTACTACTGGACAGACTTCCAATTGAACTAAAAAATTTTTTTTCTCAGCTTCCACTTCTAAGGCCATATACTGTCACAGTAGTTTCCTAAAGATGAAAAGTACTATGTACATGACCTATGATGGGGTGCAAATGAACACCACCCTAGGAGTCAGACACCTTCATCCCTGACACTAGGTGCTTAATAAAAATCTACTAAATGAATGATGGATTAACTGCCAAAAATGACCTCCTTGGCTTGGTAATTTTCTCTCTCAGTCCAAAACCTCATAAACATGAATTTCTAAACCTGAAACATGAGTTTTAAACTCAGGATCTCAAAGAAATTTTTCAGAGCTAACATTTCATGATCTTCCACTGGATTGAATAGGCATAAGTGAACAGGCATAAATATTGGTTATTGATTTGATCCCTTGGAGGCCAATTCACTGGACTTTTTTCTATATTTTCAATATTACTCTTTACCCCTACTAAATATTGTGCAGTCACGTATCATTTGTTTCATAAAGGACAGAGAGAAATATTAGTGTAAAATCCATTTGGTCACTGGAGGAAAGGATCAGCCAGCAATCCTATATAAAGGAAAGTCTCCTTAAATACTCCACTTTTTTGAGTCTATGATGCCACTTATGCATAGCCACCAAGTTCATCACAGCTTTCCAAAAAACAAAAGAGACAACAAATATCTAAAACATTTCCTTTGCCATAGATGAAACAAAACATTTTACAAGTGGTCATTTGAAAGCAATATGTCTTAAAATTAAGAAAAATACAATACCACAGAAACCATCATATTCAAGATGATATTTTGTGCTAAATGATGGAAAATCTTACCACTTTTTGATTTTCGTTCTTTTGCTTTCGCAAGGGCATCATAGTATCTGTCAGCACACTCAGGGATTATGTCATTTGTATTATCAATGGAAGACTTCAAAACAGACAAAATATCACTTGAGTTTTGTTTCTCCAAACACTGATTAACATCAATGACCAGTGTAACCCCTGGGTAATAAAAAAAAGTTTTTGTTAATGGTTATCTTCTGTTTACCCTAGAGGCATGCAAAAATATATTTCAACATTATAGGAATACATTAGTATTAAACCTTTTTACTCTTTGAGAGTATGTACCACATTTGCCCAAGCCAGCTGCCAACTCACCTACCAGCTTAGGCTGTAAGAAGAGTAAGAATCCAGAAACATGGCTTATTAAAAATCACAGTATTTCTTGGTTACTCTGGTGTGTGATCAAGGCAGTAGGGATTTGCTCACTGCAATAATCTATGAAATGGGGTGAATGTCTGCCAAAAGGAGATATGTAGTCCATCAATCAGCATTTGAGAACTAGCTTTATGAAGACATTTATTTCAGAACAAGTAAAATGCCATTCAAGCTATGGCAATCCTGATGTTATTCTCTCAAATAGTGCTAGCATACCTCACAAGATTGCCATTAGCAACCTAAACAAATGTTCTAGCAAGGCAAAAAGCGCAGCTGGTGGATAGGTGCAATGGAGTTCAGAAACTTAATTCCGGAACCAATTTCAACCTACAAAGCAGTTTATCCCATTTCAAACTTCTCCCCATAGATAAACCACATTAAATTCTTGGTTGCCTAAAGAAAGGTACCATTTAAAATTTTGTATGGTCCACTTTAGTTACAGGTAACAACATTCTGGCCCAAGAAATGGGACTACTGGTTTCACAACCTGTAAATTCACTGAGTTAGAAATGAGAACCCAAGATGGAAGAAACAGGTTAAAATAATTTCTGTATGAAAAAGATTTTGATGAAAAGAGAGGGGAGAGGTGGATTTTTTTTCTTTTTTCCATTTTTCAAACACACATGTCAAACTCTACCACACAAATGCAAATATGAGGTGGTATATTGTTGCCACCAGATCATGTTCCCTTGTACATGGAACTATCAAGGCTGAAGAGGCAAGAAAAACAGAGTTTGACTTTCAACAGCCTAGAGTTGTGGTCATGAAAATCTGGAGAAGCACATAGAGAATAAAGAACTTCTGTAGAAAACTCCAATTGTTACTCAGCAGAAGGTGTAGCAGTGTGATCTTGTGCTTATAGAAGTTAGTAAGTATGGGTGAATGGGTCCCCTTTCCTCGTCTCCAAGAAAGCTCTGTGGAATGAGAAAAATGCAGTACTGGTGCTTGAGGTGTGTGGGAAATAAAATGTAAATGTCAAAGAATTCACACATGAATTATATCTGATGGCTTCATCTAACCCAGTATTTTCCTTAAAAGATGGGTATCAAAAAGGCATGCATTTCTTGCACATAGTAACATGCTTTACCATTCAGTATTGTTGTGCACAGAGTAGGTCCACAGGTAATTTTCCAGATAACTGAACCTTACTTTTCTTTTCATCTTACCAGAACCATTTTCCAGGAAAACCTAAGTCCTGGAGAAAACACTAACAGAACAGTCTATCTCGGCTCATCATTTTACCCTACAGTCCCTGGTACACAGTTCGTGCTTAATGGTTGCTGAGAACTGCCAGAAGAGTCCTTCATTTCATTAAAATTATGCTGTACCGTAAAAACAGTGAGCAATGCTTCCCATTGAGGCATTGAGGTGTTTGGGCTGCTTTGTTCCTGCACTAAATGGCCTCAGCCACCTAAGCTTTTTAGTCCCTCCACCCTGATTGTCACTGTCAGCTATCACTCTTTGCTGCTGTCTGTGTTTCTCTATAGGGCATCCCAATACTTAGCTGCCTGCTAATTTGTGGTTTCTGATGTAGCCAACTCTGAGTTGAGAAGATAAACAACAAACGTATTAGCATTATGCCTAAGACAAGAATAAATAGGCTCAAACTATCTGTCTAAGAGGTCCCCAAAGAGTAGAATAAATCAGTTAGTTCCACTGCACAGGCTTTGCAGTATCTATTTTGATTGCTTTTTCACTTATTCTGTGGCTTATGGTGAAGTTCCAGGGAGTTGAGTATATCATATAAGTGATCTTCATAAAGTCAGGAAGGTTTCTGCTAAGGAACAAATTAAAAAACCTTTCATAAATCTCCTAAGAGATTCAAAAAAGGTTTGCTTTACATTTTAAGCCATATACCAGCAGGCTTTCACTAAGGCATGTGTTCTCAAAAGAGGTGGTAATAACCCCAAGTAGGACAAAAATTAATAATTAGGGGAAGGGAGTAAAAAAAATCATTTACATACAAAGCACAGATCTATATATGGTACATAAACAGATCAATATGTAGGTGGTACTTAAACATTTCATGGTGAGGGGCAACTAGGGAAAAATATTTAAAAAGCTTGTTTAGGGTACAATAATGAAGCAAGGCTGAGAGACAGTGTTCCAAGGAATGAAAAGTAGAAACTAATCCACTTTAAGAGAGCGAGATGCTCCAGTGGGAATGAACACTGGGCCGACATGAAGGAGACTTCAGTTACTGTGCCCTTTCAAATCTTGCCTGTGGTAAAATATATAGGCCACCACAGTTTCTTTTATCAAATTACCAGGGAGTAGGTTTGATGCTTACAACATGTGACTAGAATCTGTTTCAAGACTTCATAAAAAGGATGAAGAATGCTTTTAAAAGAAAGATTAAATTCCTTGTTGAAAAACTGGAAAATTCTCATCTTAATGTCAGGATATAGATGGTTTTATCTTCAGAACATCTTTCTGTTGTTACGTATCACAGAAGAAACAATCAACTTTTCCAAGGGATAAGACAAGAGGCTGGAGATAAGATTTTAAATGTACAAGTGTGGGGTACAAAATCATGTGTATTTGAGAAAATCTCTTACTTTCATAGTCAATAGAACTATGTAAAGTCTCAATGTAAAAATAAATTGACTTAACATTTGCAGACCAAATGTGAGAACTCGGAGTAAAAGGAGTAGAATAACTTCTACATTGGTTTGATCTCTAAGAGAAAAACTGTAATCCTTTCAGGCTATGTACAATTTAACTTCTTAAAGTGTTTCTTCAAATTATGGCTGCCTTCAGTTTTATATTTAAACTTAAATCTCTTATATACAAATGTTGGTTTTATTTTTTTTTCTTAAGGACTAGATTGCTGGAATGGAAAGACTTTAAAGATCCTAAGGGTATAAAAGTTCAGGTTGGGGAAATAGACATATTTTTCCAGGCTAAGGAAATAAAAACCAGATGTTCCTCACAGATGCTTCTGAAGTTGGAAAGCACATCTTTGGAGCAAGACTAAGGCATCTCAACAGTCTTCACTGATACACAGGATATATTCTGACTGAGCTATGACTGGGCAGGTTAATGAGCTACACTTTTAGGAATCTTATTTTAAAGTTTTTGTAGGCTATTCATATATGAAGAAATGTTAGTTTGTGAACTTTGAAGCTACTTTACACTGCCATGTGAATTTTGCTTTATGAACACAGAAGCTTAGAATAAAATTTAAAAAACACTATTTGAGCTAATGGAGGGATTCTATCAGTTGTTGAGTATGTCTCTTCCAAATGTGCATCCTGGACCTGGAGATATAATCTTAGGGTAGGTTTAAGGACTCAATGGACCTGGACCCGAGCTAAACCCTGATCACGTGACCCCCATAAGCCTGTACTCTGACTGGTGGGCCACTGCCATGTTTTGGTCACTTGGAATCAGTGTCAGTTCAGAGCCAGTGTCCACTAATCCCTGCCAAGTCTGATTTTGTCCCTTCCCCTCAGCACAGACACCATGGTAAAAGGGCATAGGTCTGGGGACTCCTGAGAGAAAGATGAACAGTATAAAACTTTGTAGTGTGGCAGAGTCCTTTCTCCAGGGGACCTCGCCTCCCCTTTATTCAAGGGGTTCTGGGTCTGTGAATGACTCAAGTCTGAATTGACTGAGGGGCCACAACTTCCTGTTTTTATGATTCAAGTAATACTTCTATTCACTTGAACTAGAACTCTTCCTCCACTTGCACAAATAGAGTAAGAATTTAGTAGACTATTTCACTTCCACTTATGATTAGTCAGTTCCATAGGTATTGTGAGTCAGATTATTCTGAATACTGCTTTGATTCCTCACGTCTATTCTCTTTCTCTTCCCATATACCTGTATGTGTACAGTCTATATGTTTTCCAGAGAAACGGAACCATACACACACCTGAGCATGCACACATACACAAACATACATAGCAATACATTTAGTTCTGTTTCTCTGGAAAACCATGAAAAATACATTGGAAAGCATGGAAGAGAGGTTAGGCATTTATTAATCAGAAAAGGGCTAGTTTTCTAAAGATCAAGATGGAAAAGGGCTTGATTAAACTATAAATTGGCAAATTTAGAAATCGTGTTTTGCTTTCTGGATTTTGTTCAGCAATGTTCTCAGATTTTGTTGGGGATAGCATGTAATCACTGAAAATAGTGCAACCAATAAATCTTATTTTTGTAAAAATATGCATTCAAGAACTGAAATTGGTAAGAGAGTCCAGATCTTTTCAGAAATTAAAAATCATGTAACTTTTAAAAATAAGGAACTAAAACAAAAATTCAGGGGGCATAAACAGATCCAAGCAGGGCCAGCTGGGCCAGGGAAGGAGGTGAGTGCTTACACTGTCTTGCTTTGTCCTTGTCCAGGTTAGCCTCATTGACAGCATGCTGTATCTCATCCAGCCAGAGGACTTTAGAAACACTCTCACAGTCCTGGAATATCGTTGTAGAATAAAAGAAAGAACAGTGAGTGATGATGCAACCAAATAACCCTTTTTTCAGGAGCCTTTTATTATTGTTTTCACAAACTCTACTTTATCAACTACCAAGCACTGCCATTTACTGTGCAAGCTACTAATGGAATAGACCCCAGCTCTGACCGCTTCTACCCCTTTAGACAAGTCCACCACCATCTCACAGCTGAACAGCTGCACTGGTCTATTTGCATTTGTTGCTTCAAAGTTTGCCCTCTCCCACAGCAGTCACCTACATTGAACCAGATGGTCTCTTTAAAATGGACATCTCATTACACTACTGTTTAAACTTCTTAAAGGCTCTGCCCTGCAGTTAGGAGGAAACAGAATTGCCTTCCCGAGGACTGTTAGCTTTTAATGATCTGACCCTGTGGACACCTCTGGCTTGACCTTACTCTCCTCGGCTACCTGGTTCCAGACCTGCACACCAGCCTTCTACATCACAACGTTCTACCCCAGCTGCCCAGCTGTTGGCTTCTTACCATTCAGGCCTTAACTCAAATACCACCTCCTACAAAAAAGCCTTCTCTGGCTGCTCTTCCCTAATCACTTAGTAACTGTGGTTCCCAAGGTGGCCCCAAGTGCCATGGGATACTTTAAATTTGAGGGAAACACAATGATACTCACCATTTACCAGACACAGAGACAAAAATAAAACCAAACAAAAAATGGTGATTGCCCTCAAGGCACTACTAGTTTAGTAGAAGAGACAGATGTATCAAAAAGTAATTATAATACAATGTAATCAGGGTAATATTAGCTGTAGATATATGATCCTGAAATAGCTAAGAAGGGATTAATTTAAGAAGACTAAATCGTAAGGATAGCTTCAGAAAGCAAGTGATAGCAGCAATGAAAAAGTATTGAATTATCTTTATAATTTTTTACTTTTGAGTTGATTATGATGATCTTGCTACAAATGTGGTGCTGGCATATAATGTGATTAAATGGGATGTCCAGACAGTAACTGCATTTTATATAAACTAGTCCAAGACTACAAGTAAATTTTGCCCTCAGTAATAATTTTCAGGGAAGATGACAGTCCATTAAAAAAAAATGGGAACATTTGCCTATGTGTAGGAATTAAGTGTCATGTACTAAATTCAAAAGCAAGACTGTAATGAACAGAAGGTGGCTCATTGGGGTCATGGAGAATCAGCAGCACCATTTAGGAGAAATTAATAGTTACTAGCTCCTCTGGCGGGCTTCAACAGCATTTCCCTCAGAGACAAATATGAGATGACCTATCCGAAAGGGCTCTGAAAATGAGACAATATATCTATTTCATCCTGCAACAACCGGGCTATCAGAGACCACTGCGGAAGGCTTGGTTCCTGCTTCCGCAATCATCTCTAGTTATGTCTGTCACATGGGAACCATCAGCTGTTGGTGACTTTTTCTGTTTCTTGGGAGAATGGCCAGGGGAAGGTTCAAACAGGAAGCAAGATGGGAAGTAAAAGACTAGAGGAGTAAACAGACAGGAGAACAGAACTATATTTTCTCTGTTTACAAGACTAAAGAGAACCCAAACACTCCCCAGGGTACAGCCTTCAAACTAAGCTCCATGTAAGTTCATTTATGTCTGAGTTTTTTTTGAAGGGTAGTTACCCAATTCCTTCATAACTTACCACTGTCGAAGATGCCCCATACAAGCTTTTACCCAGATGAGGAGGAAGTTAAAATCTCACTTGAGAGCTGAAAGTATTCGTTTTTTAAGCCAAACCAAAGAGAGATTTTGCAAATCAAATGGATTTAAGTCAACAGTTGAAACCATGACTCATTGAACTAAAGGTTGCTAGAGTGTAATTTAAAACCAACAGTAAAGTCCAAATCCTACCAGTGTAATGTCTCCTTTTCAAATGTTCACTAGGAGACTGGAGACATAGTTACAGGGCGACCGTGGCCCCACTAAACAGCTTGGTTCAACCTGAGTTACAAATGGATGATGGGAATAGAAACTATGCTATCCACAAATCAAGTCATAAATTCCTGAATTTAGATGATTCCTAGAAAATTTTAATTCAACAAAAAAGTTCCCTCTTCAGTATTTTGATAGTTATTCTTTCTGCCACAAAACAGCTTTCTGTCTTGGTTTGTGTTACTGTATATCATGCAGCTAAAGTGTTTAACACTGACTTTTGATTATAAAATTCTTGGTGGATAAACTTCAATCACGATATGAAAGGTTTACCCAGATCAATTAATTCCTAGCTTATGCCTCAGCCTTTAAGTCTTGTGAAATTTGCATTTTCCAATTCTTACTGTGTTTTATAGGCAACAGGCTGTTGGGTTGTTTGGCTTAGCGTGTAACCTAAAGTTTTGTAAATTATAGGAAAATCTGCTATAATGCAGTTTTTTTTTTCCCTACATATTAAGTCATATCCTCCAGAATATAAATACTCATAAAAGCTCCTATGTTGCACAACAATGTCAATGTACTTAATACTACTGAGTTGTATACTTAATAATGGTTAAAATGGTGAATTCTTGTTACGTATATCTTACCACAATTAAAAAAAGTGCTTATTGTAGATCTGCTCACCAACACCCATGGAATAAAGGGAATCCTCTGCATTTCAACACTGTATTATGATTTTAGTTTAATAAAAAAGTATTGTTTCAGTCCCCTGTTATCTGCCCCTATAGTTATTGAATGGCTTATAATATGATGAGCTGTGGCAAAACAAAACTATAAAACCAAGTTCTGGGGACTGCAAATTGGTGCAACTGCTGTGGAAAGCAGTACGGAGGTTCCTCAAAAAACTAAAAATAGAAATACCATTTGACCCAGTAATTCCACTCCTAGAATTTACCCAAAGAAACAAAATCCTGGATTCAAAAAGATATATGTACCCCTATGTTTATCACCACACTTTTTGCAATAGCCAAGATATGGAAGCAACCTAAGTGTCCATCAGTAGATGAATGGATAAAGAAGATGTGGTACATATACACAATGGAATATTATTCAGCCAATGAAAGAAAAGAACTGCCATTTGTAACAACAAGGATGGACCTAGGGAGTATTATACTCAGTGAAATAAGCCAGGTGGAGCAAGACAAATACCATATGATTTCACTTAATTGTGGAATATAAAAACAAAGGAAAAACAGAAGGAACTAAACAGCATTGGACTCACAGACACTGAGAAGTGACTAGTGGTCACCAAGGGGGAGGGGGACTGTTGAACCACTGTGATGTACATTTGATAAAATTAAATTTAAAAAAAACCAAACAAGTTCTGGCCAAGCACTGAGGACAAATTCAGACCAATGTGACACTGATGATGAATTTTCAAAGTAATCAAACACTTACACAATTTTAACTTCTTAAAAATGTTTACTCTCAATGATTCATTCAATTTATAATTATGTAATGAGTTTAAGAATTATCATTTGAAATAGCAGGAGGAAAAAGGAAAGAATAATTTCTGACCGCTCAATTATTAAGTAGAAATTATACTCTGGAGCTACATTTGTAAAAGTGAGTAAAAACGAGATGTGGGACAGAGTCGAAACTAACCGCTGCTCAGCACCTGTTCTCAGCTTGCTTTTTGTAAAGGACCATTTACTATCTGCAGTTCTTTCAATGTATGTAAGTCTCCTGGGTGGGAATTACAGCATCTATTGAGAATGGACTAGTAGGGGTGGTAAGAGTTAAATGATTTTTCTCTGGGGATAATGTAGCACGCTCCAGACTCAGCCTGAGTCATGCACGCTGAAACATGAGTGCTGGCACGCCCTTTCCCTCCCTGCAGCAGACCGGGAGAGCGCAGAGCACAGGAGCGCGCACTTCCACAGAGAACAAGTGTTCGTTTTGCTGTTGACACACCGAACTGAAGCACAGCTGTGCTCCCTAATCTGATACATTTGATAACCTTTGGGAAAAGGGACTCAGGTCATCCAGATGAAAGCCCTCATCTCTGCAGCTGTTGGAGCAGTGCTTCTCTTGCCCACTTTTTGTCAAAGCGGTAAGCCCTTTGCTTGCGAGGTAGGATGGGGGTGCTGGTTTGTGTTACCACAGTCAACTGAATCTAATTTTCTTTGCATTTTACACCAACTGCTACCCAAAAGGCAGAGTTTGATTTTAGTTATTAGAGGTTGTATCATGGAAATGGAGAGCTGTGGTTTGTTCATTCAGTCCAAACCTGTCAAAGACCTGAGTGTTCTCTGCTTACATTTGAAAATGTGTGGCACAGGCAAAATTTTCAATCTCTTTAATTAGTCAAGAATCAACTTTCTTTGTGAGAAGTTTTTGATTTTCTAAGAGTTTCCTCTGATTCAGCGAAGATACCACTTTTCCAAGGCATTAAAAAATCCTGTGTTTATACCTTCTGCTGAAGGTCCCCCACAAATGGGGGAAAAAGAATATTTCAGAAAGATCGAGTGGTCTGCTTTCTATTATAGGCAATACTAATAAATTAGTGTTTCTTAATAGCTTTTTTGACTTTCAGTGGTATCAGGGAGTTCTCCCCACCATATGATTTTTTAATTTTAGAAATGAGATCTCCCAAATACTATTCTCCAATTCTTAATGTGTTTATTTCACCCAACTAAATATAAGCCTGTAAACCCCTGCTTGCTCCCAATTTAACCAAAATGGGATAGATGTACAGCCGCAACTCTTTTACCACTGGGCACACTCCCATCAATATCAGGAGTGTTAGCAGCAGGAGCACTGGAGTGAGGGACACACGGGGAAGAAAACAAAATTAAACACAAATCTCTAAAGGAATGTTGCCAAAATCGACAGCTGAAATCGCGAAGTGGCTTAGGAGAGTGAGTGCTAAGGGAGCCCTGCAGAGAACAGCACACGTGGGACATATGAATAGGACAAGCAAGTGCTTTCTGGGAGTGGATGACCAAAATCAAAGGAACAGCAAAATCTGCTTGTGGAGGTGGCTCCTTCAAGATGCTGGTGGGGCTGGGTGGAAGTGGAAGCGGGGTGGAGTTCAAAGGTGGCAAAGTAGAAGGTAGTAAATTTGTGGTGGATAAAGGTGAAGCAGAAATGGAAGAAAGACCCATTGTCTAGCGGTTGAAGTCTGTTCCCGTTGGCCGGTCCCCACCAAGGCCTTTTCCCAGTTTGAAAAACATTTCAGAAATATTATGCCATATGGAAACCTGCTTAAAGAGTTCAAATAGAATTTTTAAATAACAAAATTTAACAATGAGTACTCTTCTTAAGGAAAACCAGGCTCTAAGAAATAAAGGACTTATTCAAGCTGAACCAGATCCGAATTCTCATAGAAAATGGAATCAGGACTCTTTTCCACAAACAGAGTCACTGTTTAGCATGTTTTTAGGCATATCTTGCTCAATCACAGGAATTTCCTGAAAACTGACAAACTTGGTTTCCACAGTTCCCTTGTCCGATCCTGAAGGGAAGTAAGTTTGTATAGCATGTTCTCCATCCACCATTTGCACTCTCTGCGCCTTCTTGGAAAGGCAAAATTCTCTTTGAGTGTCAGATGCAAGAATTTTACAAAAGACAAAAGTGAGCAGAAATATTTGTGTGGCTGGGCTCAAGTGTCACACTATCAAAGTTCCCTTCAAACACACTCCCAGAAGAGAGCCACTTACCAGGACTTTTTTTTCCTTTTTCTTTAACGTAGTTTCCCTTAAATGATACCAGAGCACCTCCATGTCCCTACTTGTTCAGGCAACACTCTCCCTCTTATTTTACACACTGAATTCAGTGCTACAATCTCTGGTCAATGACGGAGGTTTCAATTTTGCCCAAGGGCAAACTGCGAGAGAGTAAAGCAGGAAGAGAAACTGGCTTTGAATGAGAACCAGGTTACTAAACACTAACCTCAAATATTCAACACGCAGGAATTCAGAGGTCAAGGGAAAAGATGTAACTAGCAGAGCAATGGCATTTTAAATGGCTAACTATGAAGTTTATATTCAGCATAAAAGTCTATCTTAAGGTAGCATTAGAAATTTGAGAGAATCTACTTTCTGTAAATGTCAAAAGATTCATTTATGTGAAAATTATATAACAAGAAGCAGGTTTGCATATTAAGGTTCACTTTGCTTTTGAAATTCTTCAAGAACTAGGGTTATTAATATCAACTCATCAGTCAATGACTAATATTTATAGTATGCAGTTGTGTGTGTATGTGTGTGTGTGTTTTCATTTCCAGCTTCTTAGAGATCCTCATATTGATTTCATTGTCTCATTTTTCTTTCTTTGTTTTCTGTTGCCTTAAAAGCTGGCATTTCCCCTACAGTCTGCCTTTGGAATCTTCTCATCTCTCCCTAGGCCATCCCAACCACTAAGCTACAGCCCTACACAGACTAAAAAAAAAAATCCATCTCTCTTACCTGGCTCCTGGAATTTTTGACTTAACACCTAAGCTTTCTAACCTGTCATGGGACATCTTATACATACTAATATCCCCTCAGCAACTCAGATGTAGTAATAATAAAAAACTGAGATCTTAGCTTCTCTCCATGCTGCTCCCTTGTCCCACCCTCTTCCTCCAAGTCATCTGGAGTAGAAAGTTCCAAGTCATGTTTGCCTCCTGCCTCCTCACTGCCACCACAGCCACCTGGACAAGTCCCTCCAAGCTGCTGTCAGGGTCCCATGCATCCATCTTCATTTTTCGACTGCCACTGCTCTGGTCCTGTGACTCACTGTCTTGGGTCTGAGTGACCAGAGTAACCTCACACTCAGTGCCCCTGGCCTCTGGTTTCTTCCCCTTTCAGTCTGTTCTCTGCATTGTGGCCCGAGTCATCCTAAACACAAGCCAAATCATGGTTATATCAGTTTCCTACTGCTGCTGTGACCAACTACTATAGACTTAGTGGCTTAAAACAGCACAGAATTATTCTAGTTCTGGAGATCACAAGTCCTAAACTCAAGGTGCCAGCAGGGCTGTGTTCATTCTGGAGGCTCAAGGGGAGAACATGCTTTGTTTTTTCAGCTTCTTGAAGTGCTTGCCTTCCTTGGCTCATGGCTCCTTCCATCTTTAAAGCCAGCAGCAGAGCATCTTCCAATTTCTCCAGCTTTACCTTCTTGCCTCCCTCTTTCTAGGAGTCTTATGATTCCATTGGGCCTACCCGGCTAGTCCGGGATACTCATCCCATCTAAACATCCTTAATCACCTCTGCAAAGTCCCTTTTGCCATATAAAGTAACATATTCACAGGTTCCAGACATTTATTTGCGGGTGGAATTTTTGGGCACCATCACGCTCTTTACCACAGTAGCCATTCCTTCATTCACAATTTTGTACGTGTACAACCCCAGCATCTATGAATGGGCACATGATTATTTCTTTGTACAGTTTAGAGAGGTTTGGCTGTAACCTACTTCTTCGACTTCATCTCTCAGATGCGCCTTATTATCATGAGACTACATTCTGTGCATCTTCTCCACTAGGCTGGGGGTTGAAGACAGGGATGCAGTTTATTGAAAACTGTGTACTACTAAGCATGTTTGTTGAATTAACTTACCTGACACTCCCAGATCCCATGCCAGCCCACACTATGCCCTTACCATGTATGACCTACCAGAATCTTACCCATCTATTAACTTAAATTTCTTTAGGAACCCTGTTCATCTTTGCTCATGTTCATCTTTTCCTTGGCATTTGGCTCAAACATTTGAATCTGTTGACTATCATTTGAACACCTATACAGTTTATAATCAAGGTGATGTTGGCTTATAACATAACGGCGATATATTGTTTTTGTTCCTTCCAACAGTAATATAAATGCCTCACATGCAGGGAGTTGTCACCTGGTTTTTCCTTTTGCATGGGCTGGCATGGTGCTGGGGCCTATGGTATATACTAAATGCATTCCTGTTGATTACCTGATCTATAATGATTTTTTTAAAATAAAAATAATCCTAAATTCTACAACTACAGAAATTATAGAGCATTAGACATTTAGTTTTACTGTCTCCTGAATCATAGGCATGGCTCAGTGACAAATCATATGTGCATGCTCTTTTTCAATCACAGGTATGGAAAACGGTGCAGACAACTTGGGGGAGTCAACCTTACCTATCAAGACCTTCCGTGGTGCTCCTCCAAATTCTTTTGAGGAGTTCCCCCTTTCTGCCATAGAAGGCTGGACAGGTGCCCCCACAACTGTAAAAATTAAGTGCCCTGAAGAACGGGTTTCAGTTCTCCATGTGAATAATGCTACCGTGGGGTACCTGAGCAGCTCCATAAGTACCAAACTCATCCCCACCGTCTACATCCTGGTGTTTGTAGTAGGCGTGCCAGCCAATGCGGCGACCCTGTGGATGCTCTTCTTCAGGACCAGATCTGCCTGCACGACCATCTTCTACACTAACCTGGCCATTGCAGATTTTCTTTTTTGTGTCACATTGCCCTTCAAGATAGCTTACCACCTCAATGGGAACAACTGGGTATTTGGAGAGGGCCTGTGCCGGGCCACCACAGTTGTCTTCTACGGCAACATGTACTGCTCCATTCTGCTCCTTGCTTGCATCAGCATCAGCCGCTACCTAGCCATTGTCCATCCCTTCATTTACCGGGGGCTGCCCCAGCGCACCTATGCCTTGCTGACATGTGGACTGGTGTGGGCAACCGTTTTCTTATATATGTTGCCCTTCTTCCTCCTGAAACAGGAGTATTACCTCGTCCATCAGGACATCACCACCTGCCATGATGTCCACAACATATGTGAGTCCTCCTCACCCTTCCAGCTCTACTACTTCATCTCCTTGGCGTTCTTTGGATTCTTAGTTCCATTTGTGGTCATTGTTTACTGCTATTCAGCCATCATCCGTACGCTGAATGCATACGACCACCGATGGCTGTGGTACGTGAAGGCGAGTCTCCTCATTCTTGTGATTTTCACTATTTGCTTTGCTCCAAGCAATATCATACTTATCATTCACCATGCTAACTACTACCACCACACCACTGATGGCTTATACTTCATCTACCTCACAGCCTTGTGCCTCGGCAGCCTGAATAGTTGCTTAGATCCATTTTTATATTTTCTCATGTCAAAAATCACAGATCAATCCACTGCTTACCTGACAATGGTGAAATCACCTTAGAGAACAAGGAAAGCTATCTGTGAAAATATCCATTCTTGGGATAACTTATGTATCGTTCAAGGAGCTCTATTCTCTAGCTCTCAAGAAACAGTGCTTCAAAATGAAACACTACAAACAACACTATCTTTTTTAAAAAAGAAAAACAACTCTATGTCAGTGTTTTACGAATGTCGATGTGGGAGAAAAGGTAACACCACTCTTTTTATGGCAACTGACACATTTGGGTGCCAGGTGCTTGGAGGCCCTTACACCTCCATGTCCCCCATCGCTCTGAGGCTTCCACTCCAGGCGACCCGGGGAGGAGGGCAGACCAGGGAGCAAGGGTGCAGCCTGAGAAGCTAAGGTCTCAGTGTTTAGTATCTGGTGTCATTTTTTTATTCTTCTGCTCCCTCAGCTCTTCGCTGATGGCTGTCTCATCAGCTGACTGTCTCTCTGTAACATCTCTCCCTGGGGGTCCATTATCCCAGCCCCACCTCTGCATTCTAACCACTCTCTCTGCTGTCAGCCTATCTCTGTTTCACTGCCCACTGCCAGACTAATCTTCCTCAAATATTAGTTTGATACACCACTCAAAACCCCCAGCTCAAAACCTCCCTGAACTCTCCACTATTTTGGGATACCTTAGAAATCTCCCACTTGGCAGTCAGAGCTAACTTTCTTACTTGACTTCCCAATAAGCCTCGTCTGCAGTGTAGGCACCAGCCAAGCCTCTTGCTTTGCTGTGATCTTGATTTTTCCTCTCTCTGTCCCTGTCTCTTATTGGAAAGCCATTTTTAACATGTTTGCCTTCTTTCCATTTCTTGAAGTCCTCCAAGGACCATTCTTCCCTAATTCTCAAGCTACAAGTTCTTTTTTCTCATCGGAACTTTCAAAGCACTTTCCTGTATTTTTGTTACAGTGCCTATATATAGTTCATTTATATACAAATATTAATTCCACACTTACTAAGCACCATGTCTAGCAGAGATGGGGGCTCACCCTCTTGCTTCTTTAGCTTCTTATAACACCTGCAGGCCCAAGTCTTCCCGGGGTCTGTGGGGCCCAGTTCCATGCCTTGCGCAGCACATGGCTGAATGAAAGAACTACACGACCCCAAAGCAGCTCCACGGTGTAAAGCCCATTATATTCCTACTGGGGAGGCAAGGTGTTCTGTGTGACATGGGGTCACATCAGGTTTGGTAGGGCATGCAAAAAAAAAAATAATAAGGAAACTAAACTAAGAATATATGCATGAGGTCATTTACAAGTTTAAAACAGATCCATTATTTTTGGTCCTTTTACATAGTTTTTAAAAGGGAAGTTAAATTTTGTTGTAAATGCCCAGTATATTCCTGTAGGTAGATGACTACATTTCCCTTAGTTTAGGGATTAGACAGGAGGTGAGATGTTAGCGATTAAGGGCAGGAAGGATTGCTGAGAAGGATTTTCAAGTCTGTAGAAATGTGAATTAATCATATACTTTGTAGTGACCATCGAAACAATAAAAAAAATTGTTAAATGCATATTTTTGACTCTGCAGTGTTTCCTGTTTCATTTGACCAAGGCAAAACAAAAACAAAACCATGTACACAAATTCACTTCACAGTACATATGTGGTTATGTGAAGAAAGAAAATCAGACACTAAAGCAAGAAAGAAAAACAAATATAAAGTTTCAAGATCACAAAAAATTTCAGTGGAAAGAACTGGTTCTGCAAATAAAGTCATCAACTGTAATAAGTTTTACCTATGGAAAAGGGCAATGATATTCACTTGTTAAAAGCACAGTTAATTTTTATGCAGTCAATATACATATAGCAAAGCTTACAATTTAAAAATAGCTCACAATTCACTGCCTCCACCAAATAGACACAGAAAGTGTGTTCTCTGTTAAGTGTATGCCAATATGCCCACGACCCGCTTTTCCCCAAGTGACAAAAGGAATTTGGTACCTACATAAGATTATACTTGAAATACTATTAACAAGGACCAAGAAGCCTCATGAACTTACATCACAGTCCCCAATCTTTGATTAAACTGAGCATTTATTCTATGACGATGCTATCCACTATGACCTTTAATGGCTATATTCTTTGGCATAAGCTTTACTTTACAAGTGACAATATCAGTAATAGAATATTTTCCTGTTATTTTCTCAGGCCAGATCTTAGGAAGACAAAGCAGAAATACACCACCAAAGCACAATACCTAGCAGAATTTACAAAACAAACACAGAAACTCCTCTAAATAAACACCAGAATCAGATTTTTCCTCCAACCCCAGGGAAAGTGAACAAGCTGAGAAAAGAAAGTTTCAAAGCTAATGGGCTGAGAAAGAAAATGTATAAAAATAGCAATTTAATATATAAAAAAAATAAAGATTCACTACTTGGAATTGTACTGTTTTAAATCTATTAGCTATTGCCAATACATTTCAAGCCCCTAATCTTTTATAGGCCAAAAGTCATTTAATACCAGAGTTAGAAGCCATATCCCTAGGCTTGTTTAATGCTCTAACTACACTATTCATGCTACTGCTTTCACACTCAGAAAGGATGACTGACAGAGAGCTGGCAGAGCACGGACACTCAGGGGAGGCTTCCAAATGCCCTGGAGAGGTCCTGCAGAGCTCCATCTTGGTTGGAGCCATTAGACTGGAGTGCTCTGGAGGCGACTTTGACTGCCTGCCTATGAAAGGTTTGTGGACTCAGCCTCACCTCAAGGACAAACCCCCTGTGGCTGGGGGCAGAGAATAACCCAGGTCTGCATACATCCTCTACCCAGGAAATCCCACATTTGGTTTGTAGATGAAACAGGCCACATGTCTGGTAAAGACCTTGCGACACAGACATTGCACACCCCTTACCTGTGTGGCAGCCAGAGGTTCCTACAGTAATATTAGCTACAGTATTTAAGCATATTTTTGGGGTGTCAAGCTCCATGCTAAATGCTATACACTCATATACACATATATTCATATTAAGGTAATTATACATAGCTATTCATCAATGTATTACATGTAAACAAAATATAACATATTATCAATTTGTCATAGTGTTACATGTATACTATTATTTAATCCTCATGCTAATTCTATAAGGTAGGTACTATTATTCCCATTTTACACATGTGAAAACTGAAGCATAGAGAATTTTGGTGACTTGACTAGATCCCTAGCTATTTTATGGCAAAGCCAAGATTGGAATGGTGCCTGTTTCCAAAGCAAATACCTTCCAATTTTTAAAAATTCTTTTGGTGCTGGTAAGTGTGCCATGTGCCATAGTCCCAGCTACAGTAGTGGGAACAGCAGGAGGAGACCCACTGTCCTTCCCCCTGGGATGTGGGGACACAAGGTTCAGGTTGAGTCTCACTCTCCTACTTGCCTGGTAATCAACCTGAACTTCCCGCTCGCTTATATCTGATGAGAGGGCACCTGCCCCAGGTGCTGTGAGGCACAAATGAGGACAGTTTATGTGAGGAACCCTTAAAGCACAAGAAGAGGGCAGCAACGTGGCCCTCCCTATTGGAAGGCTAATGTCACGGAAGACCCCACCTTGAGGGATATTTTTCTTCACCTTTAAAGAGGCAATTTAGTAGTGTGGCGTGACTAGGGTTTATAAGTACATATGTATATACGTATGTAGGTAGGTATTTCTTTAACTTTCATTAAACATTTTTTTTGCATTGTTAATACATGGTATAAAATCAAAAAGATTAAAAGTTTATCTTTTTCTTCCCTAGCCACTCAGTTCTCTTCCCCAGAGGCAATACTTCTGTATGCTGCCAGAGGCTAGATTATGCCAAAATACTTCTAATGGCCTGAGTTGAAGTTAGTTACTTTGAAGGGAACACCTTGACGGGGGCAATAGGTCCTCTTACAGAAGATAGAAAAGTTACTGGAAGAATTGGCCCTTTGTGAGTTGCTTACATTTTTTTTTGAAAATTTAGAAACAGTATGTAATGTATGCACTTTTTTAGGTCCTCTTACAGAAGATAGAAAAGTTACTGGAAGAATTGGCCCTTTGTGAGTTGCTTACATTTTTTTTTGAAAATTTAGAAACAGTATGTAATGTATGCACTTTTAAAAAAATGAAATCCAGACAGCACAGAGTGAAAAGCAGTCTCCTATCCATACCTTCTACCTTACCTTCCAGAAGGTATCTCTGTAAAAATATTTTATGTACATATAAGCATACATTTATATAGGTGTTATCCCATTTTTATGTACCTGGAAGCATGCTTTTTTTTGGTATTCTTTTATTTATTTATTATTTATTTTTATTTTTATTTTGGTATCATTAATATAAAATCACACAGGTGACATTATGGTTACTAGATTGCCCCCATTATCAAGTCCCCACCACATACCCCATTATAGTCAATGTCCATCAGCATAGTAAGATGCTATAGAGTCACTACTTGTCTTTTCTGTGTTACACTGTCTTCCCTGTGCCCCTCTCATGTTATGTGTGCTAACTATAATGCCCCTTATTCCCGGAAGCATGCTTTTTTCACTTAACAATATACATATTAAAGTTGTCCAATATAGATCCACTCATTCTTTTTCATGGCCACATAGTATTTCACTGCATGGATATGCTGCAATTTATATAACTGGCCCCCACCTGATGGGCATTTAGGTTGTTTGGAGTCCTCTGCTATTACAGACAAGGCTGCAATAAATATCCTTTTTACTTGTCATAATGCACAATAACATATGTTTCTGAATAAGAAAGACCAGGGCATCATCCCAAAACTACTTACTTTTTGGATAGCTTTGGACAAGTTGGTTTAATTTCCATAAGAGGATAATGATGACAATGAATGCTCAGGGCTGTTATGAATTGTTAGGATTATATAAGAGAATATGCATAAGGTACCCAGTACCATGCCTGTCCAAAAGCAGGTTCTCAATAAATATTTGCTCTTACCAAAGGTGTTTTCTGTTTCAGATGAGGTAGTTCCTGGGTTGTCTAGGTCAGGGGAGAGGGCTGTCCCTTTCAGGGTCTGGCTTGCACCTGGGGACATGGTGGCTTAGAGTGACTGGGCCCCAGGTAGCATCTATCCTACTCTCCGAGGACAGGTCACACAAGCCTCTTCCAAGCACCCACCCCATAGTAGCTAGTATCTGTGGGACTCCTCTTACAAGCTCTGTAGCCAGAAAAAAACCCTCTGCTTTTTAAGGGAACTCTGGCCAGGTCAATCTCCACCTATGCTGGGAACAAACCATGCTGGTACCCGCCAAGCACTCACTTCCTGCCTGCACCATCCTGCTCCCCACCCACCTAGCCAGCTCTTCGTTACCTTTTAGGCTCAGCTCTTGTTCTATCAATGCCAGCTTCTCTTAGGATTCTCGTCCACAGCAATCCCAACCATCTCTGAATCACTCTGTGCACTTCTTATTTTGACACTCTACCACATGCTTATCTTTACCGTTACTTACCTATTCAATTTGAGAATGCCCACTGCCTAAGTTTCTAAGAATCCTGAGGATAAGTACAGAACATTCAACTGGTATTATATGTTCCTCGTATCGTATTACTTTTCCTGCTAGCAGATGCAGAACACTGCACTATGCACACAGTATGTGCTCAGTAAATACCCAGTGACTTCGATTCTGAACAAGAACTCACCCACAAATGAGTTTTTAGTGAAAGAGTAGAAGCAGTTATCAGCTATGCAGCCAGGTCCCCCCTCATATTTGGCACTGGGATAATAACAGCCTTATACTTCCATTCTGACTTACAGGCAATTGCTGGGACAAGAAGCTCATGAGCTTTAGGAAAAATGGGTAATCACAAGTCCTCCCTGCCATCCCTCTCCCACTTAGTCTGTAAATTTGAAAGAAATACACCAACTAAGACTTACCATGAGTTTCTGCAATTTAGCGTTGTATAAAACATCCTGGTAGTGCTGAGCATAGTCTGGGTCCACATCTTTAATCTTAGCAGTAGGTAACAGCAGAGCATCTAAAGTTTTCAAAGCATTCCCTTCATCAATAGCTGCATTGATATGCCCTACAGCTATAATTCCTAGAAAATGAAGAAAAAGTTTTCCTTTTAAGTCATAGTATATTGTAAGTTCTCTAGAATCACCTATTACAAAGCTTAAGTTAGAAGGGGGTGGAGGGAATCCACACCAAAAAAACACAAAACTATAAGAGCTAATAAACAAGTACAACCAAGGCTGCAGGATATAAGACCAATGTACAAAAATCAACTATATCTCTATATACTTGCAATGTACAATCTGAAAGTGAAATTAAGGAGAAAATTCTATTTAGAAGAGATTCCAATTACAAATACTTTATAATTACAGAAAGAATAAACAGTTAGGAATAAGTTTAACAAAAGAAGCAGAGGGCATGTACACTTAAACTATGAAATACCATTGAAAAAAATTAAGGATGACCTAAATATATGAAAAAATCATTCTATCTTCATTGGTTGGAAAACAATATTGTTAAGATGGAAATATTCCTCAGACTGATCTACAGATTCAATGCAATCCCTACAAAATCCCAGCTGCCTTTTTTTCAAAACAGTAATTGACAAGCTGATTTTAAAATTCATATGGAAATGCAAGAAACCAAAATAACCAACACAATATTGAAAAAAGAAGAACAAAGTTGGAGGACTCTTCCCAATTTCAAAACTTACTACAAAGCTAGGGTTAATCAAATTTGCATGGTATTGACATAAGGTTAGACAGACAGACCCATGGAATAGAATTTAGAGTTCAGAAGTAGTAAATCCTTGCATTTATGGTCAACTGATTTTTGATAAGTGTACAAGACAATTCAACAGGTAAACGCCTTTTTAACAAATGGCACTGGGACTAGATAGCCACATGTGTAAGAATGAAGCTGGACTCCCTATATCAAACCATACACAAAAAGTAACTCAAGGACCACACACCTCAGTGTTAAAGCTTAGACCATAAAACTCTTAGAAGAAAACATAGGTGTATAACTCAGAGGCCTTGGTTAGGCAATACTGTTTAGCTGTGACACCAAAATACAACTAAAGAAAATAAATAAGTATATGGGTTGTTATAGAAATGAAACCTTCTGTGCTTCAAAGGACATCATTGAAGAAAGCAAAGATAACCTACAGAATGGGAGAAAATACTTGCAAGTCCTGCATCTGATAAAGGACTTGTATAGCTTGTATACAACTTTACCAAATATATGAGGAACTCTAACAATTAAACAACAACAACAAAAAACAAATGTAATATGGGTAAAAGACTTGAACATTTAAAGAAGATAAACAAATGGCTAATAAGCACATGAAAAGATTCTCAATATTGTTATTAGAAAACTGAAAATCCAAACCACAATGAGGTACAAAACATTTCATACCCACCAAGATGGTTATAATAAAAAAGGTCAACCATACAAGTATTGTGAGAATGTGCTGAAACTGGAACTTGAATACATTGCTGGTGGGAATGGAAAATGGTACAGCCACCTTGGTAAACAGGCAATTCTCTAAAATATTAAACATAAAATTGCCATATGATTCAGCAATTCTACTCTTAGGTGTATATATACTCAAGGGAACTGAAGCCACATGTTCACACAAGAACTTACAGATGAATGTTTATAGAAGAAATATTTCTAATAGCTAAAAAGTAGAAATAGCCCAAATATCCATCAACTGATGAATGGATAAACCAATTATCTACAAAACGGCCTAGTACTTGGCCTAGAAAGGAACATGAGATACACTGATACATGACACACCAGGCATGAACCTTGAAAACATTATGCTAAGTGGAAGAAGCCAGACACAAAAGTCCATATATTACATGATTCTATTTATATGAAATAGAAAAGGAACATCCATAGAAACAAAGTAGAATAGTGGTTGCCAGGGGACGGAAGGAGGAGGAAAAGGAAGTGACTGCTAATAGGTATAAAGTTTATTTTTGTGGTGATGAAGACTTTTAAGTTGTGGTGATAGTCACACAAGTTGTAAACTATGTAAAAACACAATAAAAGGTTAAATTCTACAGTATGTGAATTATATCTCAATGAAGCTATAAAAAGAGGGGGGTAAGTTTACATACAAGTAACAGCAGGATGCTAATTTCTACTGTGATCCTCACTTAGATAGTAATGCCAAGATACTAGATGATGGCACTGTAGAACCCCACAGCTGGAAGAATTTAATGTAGAGATATAAGTAAAGAAAGCTGAAATGCAAAGAGCATTGGAGATACATTCCATTCTTTGGATACTCTTTCACTGTTCTATAAAGGATGCCCAAACAGTGACAGTTCAAAACCAAACAATTCCCCACAGCGGTAGTAACATGAACTTCCAGGTCAGTGTAGTCCAATGTGGTCCAAATGGAGCATTCTGTGACGATGGAAATGTTTGGTATCTGGGTTGTCTCATATGGTAGCCATTAGCCACATACAACTATTAGGGCATTTAAAATGTGGCCACTAAACTAAAGAACTTAATTTAAAATTTAATTTTAAGTAGTTCAAATTGCTACATGTGGCTTGTTTGGGAGTGTAAGTAGGCTCCATAGAAATTAACACAATCACGCATATTTTGGGATATATATTTAAGATTCAAATATAAGTTTTTAAGGTTCAAGCATATCACAAATTGCTTCTGCACTAACAGCTGGTAAAATAATTTCTGGAACCCTAATTCATGGATGCACCCAAGGAAGAAAGGAATAAACATACCCACCAGTTAATCCTTCTACCATCTCTACGACACCACAGAATCTTGGGACATAGACTATGAGGTCCAGGAATGAAGAGCAAAGAAGCCAAGCTATGAATTCTGAAAAATTTTGAAATTCTAGCAAAAGTGATCTATTTGGAAGCTACTTCTCAGTACCACCATACTATTAAAAACACACTATCAGTCATACTACAGCGTATATTTGTGTGTATGTGTACATGCATGAACATAATGTACATATATATGTGTACACACACTAACAGGGGGCTTTTGCTTCCCAGGTTAGTGCTGAGGGACAAGAACTAGCAAAGAAACTAAACACTAGCAAGCAGCAAGCTTAGAAAATAAGCATTCTTAAAGACAAACTTATTTCTCATTTGGTCAGTTATTTTCTTCAAAAACAATCATTTTATAAACGTGATATGCTAGGAAAAAGAATAAGTACTTCTAGTTTTTAAGAAGTATCTTCATCTTGCTTTCAAATTAAGGTAAAATACTTAGCTAAATACCTCCTGAATAGATGATCCTGTAAATACCACCTTGCTAAGAATGAAAACATTTATCTTTAGAGAGGAAAGAAAGGGACAATCTAAAACACCTAAAAATTATTACAGATTATAATACTTAGATATGTTTGAAGGAAAAGCAGAACTACTTCTCTAATGTGTAAGTTACATTATCTCAAAGTGCTGGAAGGACTCAGGCAAGTCTAAGTACTATGCACATACAAGGTAGTATCATTGTGTGCTGTGGCAGTCACAACCAGGAGAGCATGTAATACTTACATGAAGGCCCTTGGGTAGACTGTTCCAAATATTTATAAACACCCATCTAAAATGATCTTAACAAAACTATGTATGATAAAGAGAATGTGTGCTCCTAATGGCCAATCACCTGGGAATGAGTGCATTCCAGCTGACTTGATTGAAATCACCTGCTTAAGTTTTTGTTTGCTGTATTTCTAGGAACATTAGCTGCTGAGATCATAGTAAATGACCTCATAGAAGTGGAAAGACTTACCCATAAGCCCCTGGGCACATCTGCCTCACTTCCTCTATGAGTAAAAGGGAAATCCCACTTGAACAAAGATTGGTGAGCCTCAGTCCATGGCCTACTTTGAATCATTGTGTGAGACTATCATGTTCTAGTCCAATGGTAGAATGAGCAGTCTTTTAGAGGTCATGTATTTGACACAGCGGATGAGGTAACTACCAAATTTATAAAGCAAAAATTCAAAGGAAGAAAACTTCTTTGTCTAGCCTAAATGGTCAAAAGAATGCCCCTCTATGGCTCTACTGGGAAAAGTGAACTTTCCAGGAAGAAAGCAACATAACATCCAAGTCTGAGGAAATGCATTTAGCAACTTCTCTGTTAAACTTGCCTTTCACATTTATCATTTTCTATTAGCTGCATACCCTTCCCACATGACAATTCAGATATAGGATTAGAGCCTGCAGTGTGTGGCAGGGTGGGGGAGAGTAACGCACGTTCGAAATATGCATGAAAAATTCTTACCTCTTTCAGATAATTTAATTATATTGTACAATTTGTACCTGCTCACAAAGGTACAAATATTTATTTTTTATCTAGCTTTTTTATTACTGAAAGATATGATATCAAACTCATACTTCAAGATGAACTCTGAAAGAAAATACCTTATTTTGACATATTATTCTGTCAAACCAAAACACAGACAAATTAAATATTCTGCATCAAATCCCCCAAATTCTAGAAAGGAAATATGGTAAGGAAGTCTCTGAAGTAAACTGATCATGGCATATACCCTTCATGACAGGATGCTTAAAAGAATGATAGCAGCCATGTGCTATATCACATGGAGAGTGACAGTAGTTCCGTTACCCAGATAAATGCCATACAATCCAAGAGATCTTTGCTTAACAATAGTATCTACATACACAAGCCCCATTTCTTTTTAAGTTTTGCAAATGTAACTTTTATTCTTTTCCTGGCAAAAGCAAAGACTCTATTTGATAGTCTGGGACAAAAATGGCATTTCCCTCCTTTTTAAACTAACATCAAAAATGACAGTGGCATTATAACTGTTCAGCATGGAATGAATAGGCCTTTGCTTACATAAGCAGAATGAACAGACATTAGCTAGGAGACCTTGACTGTGGGTACTGCCACAAAGAATTGGAAAAAGTTAGAAAACAAATTGGGATTTGTTCATGATTCTTTGTTTTGCCGACCCCAAAAGAGTAGTCCTACCCTTGGGTTGCATTAGCTGAAACACCAAAGCCATGGCTGCAGGACTGACTCACAGTGTGCAGCTGGGGGTCCAGGAGGACAGGGGGCTGGGAGACTGAGCTTCGTCACACCACACACACTCCACTTCTTCCTCCTTGATGATGATAAACATCTGCCCACATTAATGCTGCCCTCTTCAAAAACATCTGGCACGAAATACCAGTTTCCAGGCCATGTATCAAGAAAGCACTAAGTGGGCTATGTGGGAGCCGTCTGACTGCAGGGATTCCAAAATGCCTCACTGTCATGCAATGCCAAGAGGCAGCAGAAAGCTGTGTGATCATCACAGAGGAAATTTAGAGCTGTACTCAACTTGGGAAGGACACAGGGAGACAGTGCCCGGGGATCAGTGTGACAGTGGTCCATCCATGGCACCAATGTCGAGCAGCACACATGGATCCTGTTTCCTAGGAACGGCCTGGAGTGAGATGTTGAACAAAAACACAACCCCGACCTTGAAGTTGGCACAGTGCTCACAGGAAGCAGTCAAGGAAGAGAAGAAAGCAATGTAAATGCAACTAACAAAATCATATGTTTTATATCAAGTGCTTTTATAACCCCAAAGTTAACACAGCACTAGGAGACCAGACCTAAGACATTCCCAAGCACATGAGCACAAAGCATCCTCAACTTGTGAGAGAAGCGTCTGCTGACTCTTATCAGCAAACTTGGAACAAGCAAGTCAGAGAAGTCGAAGTGGAGTGTGGAAGGGAGGTCACTACATTGGCATCCTAACCCAATATTGCCGACAAATCACAGAGGTCAGAGAAAGCCAAAGATGATGGTGCTGGTTGGTTTGTTTTTATGATGGAAAAGACAGCTTGGAGCTTGAATGCGGTAACTGACGCCACAGAAAAGTGGTAAATATACTGACTGCTGAAGTTACACGGCTCCTTATTCTTCACTCTGTTTTTTTATAAGCAAGAGGAAGGTGATAAGGATGAATGTGGACATTCAAGAAAGCACGTTCCAGGGCGTGTCTTCTTGAGATTGCCCACTTTCATGCTCATAGCTCATAATTTCTAGAAACACAGCAAATCACCGTGATTTGTGATCACAGAGCAACTGTTAGATGGTGTTCCAATTTTTTCTGAAGGCAGGAACATGGGTCATATTTCAGAAAAATACCCAAATGAAAGGTCAAAATACAGTTGAGTGCTTAACAAGTCGAGTTCTTTTAAAAAGTTGAGTTATTGAGTGCTTAAAAAGAGCAGTCATCTCTGAAGAATTAACCAATAAGAAAATTCTAGAACTTCTGTTTATTTTATTCTATCCTTTTGTCTTTTTATGTCTGCTTTGCAATATTTGGAATATGTTGTTACAGTAGTACAGGCAATAACATTTTATATATAAATACAGACATACATATTAGGTGAGCATGCTCTCATATGGCTCCCTGAGTAAAAATCTGCAGCCCTAATCTAGAGAACTAAGTTGTCCAGATACCTTATCCTCCCATGATATTAGAGAAGGAAAGTGTTCCATACTTACGGTCATTTTCTTCTTGAATTTCAGTATTAACCATATCGATACAATTTTGAATTTCATTCCAGCTTAAATTAACTTGCCCTTGAGATAAGGCTTCCAGTTTAACTGAGAGCAGTGCATTTGCATAACTGTGGAAGAGAAAACAATCATGATACTCATGAGAGTCATCCATTCTCTGTTTGTGTCATTTAAATATCTTAAATTTGACATGTGGCCAAAAGTAGATGATGTGAGACTGAAGAGTAGAAAGGCAAGTCAAGTATCTTGTGCTTTATCAACATTCAACAAACCTACTTATATTAATGACTGTTTTTTTACTTAGAAATACTTTCTGTACAAATGCTGTTTCATGAAGTTTCCTCAAAATCTAATGAAAAAAGCCTAGAAGTTCTCAACTCAGTGAAATTGTTCCTTTTATCATGGCATATACCCTTCATGACAGGATGCTTAAAAGAATGATAGCAGCCATGTGCTATATCACATGGAGAGTGACAGTAGTTCCGTTACCCAGATAAATGCCATACAATCCAAGAGATCTTTGCTTAACAATAATATCTACATACACAAGCCCCATTTCTTTTTAAGTTTTGCAAATGTAACTTTTATTCTTTTCCTGGCAAAAGCAAAGACTCTATTTGATAGTCTGGGACAAAAATGGCATTTCCCTCCTTTTTAAACTAACATCAAAAATGACAGTGGCATTATAACTGTTCAGCATGGAATGAATAGGCCTTTGCTTACATAAGCAGAATGAACAGACATTAGCTAGGAGACCTTGACTGTGGGTACTGCCACAAAGAATTGGAAAAAGTTAGAAAACAAATTGGGATTTGTTCATGATTCTTTGTTTTGCCGACCCCAAAAGAGTAGTCCTACCCTTGGGTTGCATTAGCTGAAACACCAAAGCCATGGCTGCAGGACTGACTCACAGTGTGCAGCTGGGGGTCCAGGAGGACAGGGGGCTGGGAGACTGAGCTTCGTCACACCACACACACTTCACTTCTTCCTCCTTGATGATGATAAACATCTGCCCACATTCATGCTGCCCTCTTCAAAAACATCTGGCACGAAATACCAGTTTCCAGGCCATGTATCAAGAAAGCACTAAGTGGGCTATGTGGGAGCCGTCTGACTGCAGGGATTCCAAAATGCCTCACTGTCATGCAATGCCAAGAGGCAGCAGAAAGCTGTGTGATCATCACAGAGGAAATTTAGAGCTGTACTCAACTTGGGAAGGACACAGGGAGACAGTGCCCGGGGATCAGTGTGACAGTGGTCCATCCATGGCACCAATGTCGAGCAGCACACATGGATCCTGTTTCCTAGGAACGGCCTGGAGTGAGATGTTGAACAAAAACACAACCCTGATCTTGAAGTTGGCACAGTGCTCACAGGAAGCAGTCAAGGAAGAGAAGAAAGCAATGTAAATGCAACTAACAAAATCATATGTTTTATATCAAGTGCTTTTATAACCCCAAAGTTAACACAGCACTAGGAGACCAGACCTAAGACATTCCCAAGCACATGAGCACAAAGCATCCTCAACTTGTGAGAGAAGCGTCTGCTGACTCTTATCAGCAAACTTGGAACAAGCAAGTCAGAGAAGTCGAAGTGGAGTGTGGAAGGGAGGTCACTACATTGGCATCCTAACCCAATATTGCCGACAAATCACAGAGGTCAGAGAAAGCCAAAGATGATGGTGCTGGTTGGTTTGTTTTTATGATGGAAAAGACAGCTTGGAGCTTGAATGCGGTAACTGACGCCACAGAAAAGTGGTAAATATACTGACTGCTGAAGTTACACGGCTCCTTATTCTTCACTCTGTTTTTTTATAAGCAAGAGGAAGGTGATAAGGATGAATGTGGACATTCAAGAAAGCACGTTCCAGGGCGTGTCTTCTTGAGATTGCCCACTTTCATGCTCATAGCTCATAATTTCTAGAAACACAGCAAATCACCGTGATTTGTGATCACAGAGCAACTGTTAGATGGTGTTCCAATTTTTTCTGAAGGCAGGAACATGGGTCATATTTCAGAAAAATACCCAAATGAAAGGTCAAAATACAGTTGAGTGCTTAACAAGTCGAGTTCTTTTAAAAAGTTGAGTTATTGAGTGCTTAAAAAGAGCAGTCATCTCTGAAGAATTAACCAATAAGAAAATTCTAGAACTTCTGTTTATTTTATTCTATCCTTTTGTCTTTTTATGTCTGCTTTGCAATATTTGGAATATGTTGTTACAGTAGTACAGGCAATAACATTTTATATATAAATACAGACATACATATTAGGTGAGCATGCTCTCATATGGCTCCCTGAGTAAAAATCTGCAGCCCTAATCTAGAGAACTAAGTTGTCCAGATACCTTATCCTCCCATGATATTAGAGAAGGAAAGTGTTCCATACTTACGGTCATTTTCTTCTTGAATTTCAGTATTAACCATATCGATACAATTTTGAATTTCATTCCAGCTTAAATTAACTTGCCCTTGAGATAAGGCTTCCAGTTTAACTGAGAGCAGTGCATTTGCATAACTGTGGAAGAGAAAACAATCATGATACTCATGAGAGTCATCCATTCTCTGTTTGTGTCATTTAAATATCTTAAATTTGACATGTGGCCAAAAGTAGATGATGTGAGACTGAAGAGTAGAAAGGCAAGTCAAGTATCTTGTGCTTTATCAACATTCAACAAACCTACTTATATTAATGACTGTTTTTTTAGTTAGAAATACTTTCTGTACAAATGCTGTTTCATGAAGTTTCCTCAAAATCTAATGAAAAAAGCCTAGAAGTTCTCAACTCAGTGAAATTGTTCCTTTTTCCCCCCCACTGACTAATTTTCCTCCCCTTGGCATGTTTTAGCTCTACTTAGTCTCCAGATGACTGTTATGTGATAAAATTCAGAATTACCATGGCTCTCAATTGTTCCATTAAGAGTCCTTCTTATTATTTTTCTTATTTCTTCTAAAAATTTGAGCTATAGAGACCTTATCTATTGCAACCTTAACAGAGCTTTGTTACCTTGAATCTATATGCTTATTGAGGAATCAAAATGCAAATGTAGTTCCAGAAACCTTGCTGAATAACACATCTTCACTGTATGTTCTCTTGAAGAGGTGGCTCATGGGTTGAAGCAGAGTATCCTAAAATTCCTCCTTACCAGTCCATTTCTCCTAAGGCTTCATAGAAGCTACTCAAAAACCTCTCTTCTGTGTCTGCTCACTGCCAGGGCACTCTTACACCTCATTTCTGACTCTCACCCCTCTTCACTCTGCATAACCCTCTGGAACACAGAGTTTGGTCAACCACTTCATTTATTTTTTTTTGTCTGGGGAAATTTTAGGAGAAAAAAAAATGATCCATCTTGATACAGGACTAAGAAACTTTCATTTCTCAAGAATCAACTTTCCCACTTAAAAATCACAAAACCAATGTTATAACCACAAGCGAACACAAGCTACTCTAGCCCAAAGTAAAGAAACACGACAGTTTAGTTTGCTTTTGCTTTACATCAGGGCAGTAGAGACCAGTCCTCTATGCACACTGATTCACTACGCAATCTCTCAATGGCACCTAAGGGTTTGCTAACAGTGTTTAAAAAAAGTAACACTACATGGAGTCTAACCCTATTTTCCTGGAGTCTAACCCTGTTTTCCTGGCTGTGACAAATGGTCTCAAAGCTGTGCATGCTTCAAGGTGACACTGAGGTGTTTTTTAGAGTGCAGTGTGAGAAAGAAAAACATTATTCAAAATAGGAGGTGGTGGTGAAGATTCTTTATCTGTGGCTGAATGAGGCATCACCAAATTTAGGCCTGAAACTGGTTGTCATGTGTGAGATTTTCACCTTACTGGGAATTATAAATCTAAGAAAATACTCTGCTACTCTAGTAATACATCACAAATAGTACTGACCACAGTAACAATATGGATAAACAGCAACTTGTGCCAGTTAGCCTCCTGTATTGATAGGTGTCATTTCATAAGAAAGTGCGAAATTCTTGTGGGCATTTCACATGCTTAATGTCTAAATGTGATCCAATGGGAATAACACGAGGAAGCTTAAGGATGACCTACAGGAAAAAACAAAGCCACTCATCATTTCTTTAGAAGTGAACAAACACTAGCCAAAGGGATAGATTTTAGGAGTAACACAACAGAGCCCCACAGGCTTTTGCATTGTAGGTATGAGTCTCCAGGACAAAAGAGATTTTCTTTGGAAAATATTCTGTAGTTTACCCTAACAGGTCTATGCCCTTTCTTCCCCACCCCTCTCAGAATGTTCTTTACCACCTGCAGTAGACAGATGAGTGAGACTATTTCTGACAGGCTCGGGAAGCTTTGAGATTACAATTCCAATTTAGCCCAGTAGGGCTTTATGAGCACTTACTATGTGGAACACCTGGAGCGTTTTACAGAGTGGAAAGGATGAAGACACAGACTTTCCTTCAAGGAGCTTTCAGTCTAGTGGATAAGACAACCAAAATTCAAAAAGGATATAAAGGCAGAGCACAGCAAAGGCTATAAAAGTAAAGATGGCCCATACAGTAGAAATAACGGGGTCCCAAGAAGAAGTGGAGGGTATCTCTTGGTGGTAGAGCACCTTGCCTGGGACAGGTACCAGCGAAGCGCTTAACCTTCAAAGCCATTCTGCAGATGCAGAGTAGGTGCTTTTGTTTTGTTCATTTGGTTTTTGTGCTTTGTAGATGAAAAGAGCTCAGCTAGGAAGCATCTAACTCAGCTATTTTTGGCTTCAAGGCTACAATCCTCTAACCACAGCTTGCTAGTTCTCAGAAGAGAGGACATTAGCCATGGTGGGGAGGAGCAGAGGAACGATTCATGGAAGCATAACCCATTGCAGGCAGGGCCTTAGAGGCTCCAGCGCTGGGCCAGGCAGAGATGGGTGGCAGGCATCCTGTTCCTGGTGGTGAGAGGAGCGTGCAGAGGAGCAGAGGCGACAGTGCCATGTGTTGAGTGCCAGCTTGGTAGAAACGCAGACTACTGGGAGGGAGGTAGCTGGAGAGCTAAGGCCAGAGCAACATGTTTAGAGCAAGGAGTCTGTTCTTAGTTCCGATGAGAATAAGGAACAATTAAACAGGGAGCATTATGAACAAGCTACATTTGAGAACAATTTGTCTGGAACAGCTTGTGCCCAGAGGCAATACCAACCCTATGTCACTTTTGTGAGAATTAGACAAAAGACTTTGCTGGGAAAACACAGCAAGGGTGGAAGTCGTGGTAAATCGCTGGAGACTTTGTAAAAATTTCATCAAGGTGGCCCTGCCCAGGGCCTTTGTCCTATGAAGAACGTGTACAACTATAGAGAGTAGTGTTTCTTGAACTTGAAAATCTGCCAATTTGGGCTTCCAAGAACCAAGTCAAAAATGCTGATACTGAAGGTGAAAGAGGCTGTGGAAGCTCACTCGGTGCCAGTGCAACTGTCATAAAGAGCCAGAGGTGGGCCAGAGTCTCATGTCATTACTCAGTCATCCAGGTGACCCAGAAAGTGCCTCAGTCAAATTTTTAAAAGATTGTTGAAATCTTAAAAAAAATTAGCCTTGGAGCCAAAAATATCAAACAATCTGTTGAAACAGGTTTTAAAAGTTTCTCACACAGAATACTTGAACTGTGAGGCTGTAGCTGCAGGCCCCGGTTGAAAACCACAGGTATAAAAGTGGTTCTCAAATAGGGTGTGGGGCCATTTCCTTAATGGGTTATTTGTAAACTGGGGCAAGGGAAGGAGGATTTTTGATAATCAAAAGGGTGATCTGGAGGGAGGGCATACTGTCATTTAGATGTAGGTGCTGGAGATGCTAAGTCTGGGGCAGTGTCTTGACAATTATCTCACTGAGTCACCTGCTGCCCCGCTAGCCTTCACACAGGGGTGACCAGCTGCGGCTTCTCCTCTTGCTCTGAGAGAGCAGCAGAGCCTGGCTAGGTGAGTGTGAGTGAGAACAGAGAAGGGGTAGGAAGACCGGTGTGGAGGTTACTACAGAAGCAGAGGTGGAAAGTCTAACTGAGGTGGCTGCTAGGAAATGGAAACATTCGGCAGGGGTATAATGCACAGATTGGCTACTGACAGGGAGAAGAGTGAGCTGGTTATTCGTAGCCCAAGGGTGCCTGGTAGAGGAAAGCCAAATAGATCTGGAGCTTGGAGGAGATGATGGTGTCATTGAAAGAAACAGTGAAGGTAGAACTAGATTACCTTGGAAGTAGACTCTGGAGTTATATGAACCAGGGGGCCAAATTTACATTGAACAAGAGCATCAGTTTCTCCAAAACAATTGAAAACCATGAAAATCCACTGTCCTACTACTTTTAGGCCATTTTCCACACAGATAAGTAGTCTAACATAATTAAAAAAAAAATCTATGATGTCTTTTTTGTAACTGTAAGTAACCTAAGAGAATAACTTAAGCTATTTGAGCAGTTCCAGCTGCAATCAGTATGGGGAAAGAGTTTTCATCAAGACCTAGGCAGACATCTCCCCCTGGTGGTCAACAAGAATCCAGGATGGAAAGTCACACACTTTTGGGCTTTTGTCTTAACGGAATTTCGTTGTGGCTCCTTATTCCCACCCCATAATTTTCTCTCCAGATTTGGAAGAGTGCTTTTTAGCCTATCAGTCTTTGCTAATGACAGAGTCAGTATTTGCCCCAGGATGATCGTTTTTAGGCTTTCTAGTTTTCTAGATAACAAGCACGGCTGTGTGGATTTCTTCAGTAAGAAACAAATTCTTACTTTGTGAGATCTGCCAAACACACATGGCTGCATTGAAAGGAGGTTTGGAAAGTGGTCCCCTTACCGTTCCACATATGCCTCGTCCAGATTATTGAAACCTGTTGTTGGGCCTCTGAGTTGATTCTGAACAGACACAAGATCATGGCTGTCCAAGGCCTGGTTTAGCAAAGCAACAGCAGAGAGCATTTCCACCGCAATCAGGAGCTCCTCATGGGCCAAGTAGTTCTGTTGGAAAACACATGGCAGTGCAAGTTCTCCAAATCACATGCTTCATGTAGGTGAAGGGGATTTAGAATGCACATTTCAAAGAATAACAAGAAGTCAGAGATTTTGAGAGCCAGGAAAAAGAGGGCTCATTGGCCACCTATTTTTCATTGTCTGTAAAGAACAGGTAAGTGGATTCTGGGTTGTGCTTAGATGACCATTTTGGGGAATGAGTTAATCATAACCCCCAGTCATGATTCCACAGACATGTGCATTCGCATAGCTGATCCCTACTCCTAGCTATCCCAGTTGCTTATAGGCTCAGTATTACCAGATATTGAAGCCAAGGATTAGACAGTGTTGTCACTGAGAGTGTGAGGTATCATTTTAGCATTACTAATGATTTTCAGTTTGAATTAAAGGAGAGAATTTCACCTAGAACTTATAACCCTACAAAAGTAAATCAAAGTCCTTAAGCCAAGAATACTGTTTTGAGTTCCAAAAAGTCTGTCACATTTTGTAATTTGGTAAAAATTTAAAAAGGTACAATAAAATCCAGATATTTAAAGAAATGTGAGGTGAATCTTTGATAAACAAAGTAAGGATCTCCAGATTTATGTGGTTATAAGTCTGGATTGGCTTATTAAAAAAAAAATCTTAGATGTCAGAACATTTCTCCCCTTCAATGTCCTCTTCCATTTAAGTATTTTATACTGACTTTACACAACACCCAAAGGATTATTCCTTCCATCATATTGAAGGAATATAGGAGCATAAAAGTGAGTTAATTTTTAAAAAGCTGATAGATCTTTACATTTAAGACACTATATGTATTTAATATACACAGTGTAGTATTTATAATGAAATGCAGTATAGCTTTCTGGATCTCCACAGAAATCTCACAGTAATTGATTTTAGAGTAACACAGCATAATTTTACTTTCTAAAACAAATGGGAGGATGAATTATTATAGGGAACATGTAAGTTTTATCCAAATCTCTTACATTAACTATAAGTTAAACACATAAGGAAAGTATAAAATTACAACTAAAGAGCAGAATGGAATCATTTGCAATTCACCTCTTCTGCCCCTTCCAATGAATTGTCCACAAATCCTTAAAATGGTACACAGCATAAAGGACAAGGAAAAATACAGAAATGGGCCCAGGCAACCATAGGCTGCATGTGGACCAGTTGGGGATAAATGAGTGTGCTAGAATGAAAGCAGCCCTGAGTTTCAAAGCTAGAAAACTGGGAGAAATATTAATGAGAGAACATTAAACGCCATTTAAGAAAATAATCTGTTTTTCTTTCAGTACAAAATAGTATATCTCTCTATTTAAGAAAACATTGCAAGTCTTGATAAGCAAGAATAAGAAAACAAATCTTATTACCCAAATCCTTAAGTGTATATCCTTTTATTTTAAATGCATGCAAACATTTGCAGAGGTTTTGCTTTTTAACTGACTTTTACTTTTATTTTATTAGCAAAAAACCCAAGATAATGCTATATATTCTAATATCATTTTTCTCCATTTAATATAAATGTGCACAATCTGTTGTTAGTTAAGCACATGGTTTGTTTCCTGTTTCTCCGTATTAGAGATAATGCTGTCAAACATACCTGTGGCTACACCTTTCTGATTCCTATTCTGTAGGCTCACTTCCTAACAAAGTAACTGTCAGGAGAATGGGAAAGACTTTGACACACATTATTAAGGTCACCCTCCAGAAAGCTTGTATCATTCACATTCCCGTCAGCTGTGGAGGAGATGCCTGCTGCCCCCAAATTTATGCCTGCACTAGGTTAGTTAGGCCTTTCACATCTCTACCAACCTGATTTCTAAAAAAAACTGTGTTTTGTTTTTATTTGCATTTACTTACCTCTGATTGAGTTTGCACATTTTTTGTGTGTTTGTCATTTATATGTTCCTTGTTGAATTGGCTGTTCATTGTTTTGGTCTCCTTCCCTTTTCTCTTTTGGGAGGAGCAGTGCTGTTTCTGATTTCTAAGATTCCATGAATGTTTTTACATTTAACATTTTATATTGAGAATTTATTCTGATATGTGTGGTGAAGTAATGTTTTCTTTTCCAAATGGTTAAATACTTGTAAGGACTTCATTCCTTTCTCTACCTTTTTGAAATACTAGGTCTCATACATTAAATTCCTAGATCTGCTTCTTGTACTTTCCATTTTGTTCCATATGTTTGGCATAATCCTGCATAGTATACATGCTGTTAATTACTGTAACCTTACATGAATATGACTGTTTATTATTATTAGAATATTAAGGACCATTAGATTTACAAAAATCAAAGCCATGGTGCTAAATGTTCTTGATTGCAGATTTCTATAAAAGCAGATTCAGAACTTACTTGCTGAATCAAAAACCATCACACATTTTAAAAATACATTTCAGTTAAAATATTACCCAAAGTCCTTTAAAAACCACAGAGAATAACAACAACCTGTTTTCAGTGTGTATTTGTGCACTGCCTTGATTGCATCTCCTAGCTATGCTCTTAGATTCTTCACATAGAAGAAAAGCAGGAGTTAAAGAGGCAGGCAGCCATGGAATCGGTACAGCAGGCCAATGAGGCAGGGGACTGGTACAAGTTAGGGACTGCGCACCCCCTTCACCTCTCCTAAACAGTCTTCCTCATTGCTTGGACAGAACAAAAGTCTCTGCAACTGAAGTCTCCCCAGCTTACCATGGCGCTCTGTTTCTGGAGGTTGAGAAGTTCATCCTGGTACATCACAGCAGCAAAGGGATAAACAGCAGGCAGCTGGGCCTCTGGTTTCTTCAGTGCAAGCAGGGTATTTTCAGGGTCACCTTCTCGAATGACAGCATTAATGTGGTCCACTGCAGCCTTCCCTGAGAGTGGGGTCACATTCTGTCAGAACGTTTGGCCCAACCAGCCCATCTTTCCAAGGATAAGAAGGTTAACTAGCTAGTGACTTTCTATCAACTCTGAAATGCTGCGGTTGGAGGTGAGGCAAAGCCTGGGAAACGGAAGCTCAGTAATTGGAGGCCAGTCTGATCCTTGGAGGTGGTCCCTCAGAGAGCCTCAGCATTGATGGAACTGGAGCTACGAGATTATTCTGGCCCAGCATGACTTCCCTACAAAACCCTTCCTGTCGTGATCAGCTCTGGCCCTGTCTCTTCCATGAGGCTTTCACACTGTTTCAGTCCCTGAGGATTTCACTCCTCGGGGGTCCTCACAGTACTTAGAGCTGGGCCATAGCGATTCTGTAGGCATTGCTCTTTAATGCTCCTGTTGTGTTGGTATTGCCTCCCCACGGAGCCTGAAGCTATGTGCAGACCGGAAGCTGGCCTCGTCCTGTGGCTATTTCCTGCCTCTGAATCAGCACCATGGCAAATCCACAGCAGGCACCCCGACACATTGCTGCCTGGAAGTGATGGCATTAACTCTCAGGACATTCTCCCTCAGCTCCTGTGTTCTGTGAAGTGTGATTCTTAATAAAAAATAATTCCAGATATACTTTTAAAACTATTATAACCAAAACTCATATGACTAAGTAAGACTGTGCTACTATTATGTAACAAAAATAACATCAGAATGCGCTGGTGTGTTATCTGACCCAACCACAGCTCTGTGATGTCTCTACCAGTTGCAATCTTTAGACTGCTAAGACCAGAATTTGAGCGACCAAACTGTCGGTGCTTGCATCAGTAGTCAATACAGTTTTCAGAAACAGAATGGCTGTCCAAATGGAAGAATGAGTGATGAACTCTGCCACCAGGCACCAGCACACCAAACGGAACTAGTAGGATTTTGATCTTTAAAGAGAGCTTTGGGGTAGTAGAAATAACGAGATGCACAGATTTCTAGATTTCTTTTCAAGGGCCAGTCTGTCTTCCTAACATGTGACTAGATTGCAGCTAAGATCATTCTAACTCTTTTTAACAGATGACAATTTATTTTCCCTAACTATATTCATAAGGAGGTACCCTCAATAACGTTCTACTGAGAGACATCATTCACAGCAGGAAATGCAACCAATGCAATCTTTCATGTTGCATGCCACACCTCCAGAAAATTTACACGTATTCCAAAGGGCCTTAAGAATCCAAACCCATTTTCCTATTCTTAGAATTGAAAGGAGTAATGAAAGAATTCCAAAAAGGAAGGTCAGTGGGAGACATGGCATTTGCTTTTCTGTTAAAATTACCCCAAATCTTCCAGCTGTCTCTGTTTTCACCTCTAAAAACTCCACCATATGAGTTTGCACCCCTAGATGGTAAAATATTCCCAGAAAATTATATTCTTAAAACACTCTTAATGAAATATTTCCTCAAAAGAAATAAAGTAAGCTTAATGACTCTTTTATATTCTGCATTTAACAAAATTTCCAGCCCTGATCTCAACAGAATATGTCATGTGATGAATGGACTGTGTGAACCAAGCTAAAAAGTTAAATGATTGCAGCTCAAACAAAGCTGAAGCCTCTGACAATAGATCTAGGGACATTACCATCAAGCTGTCACATGATGTGTCACCATGCTATCACCATGGCTGCTATGAATGAGACACTTTAACATTTTAATACAATGACCTACATGGTTGGAAAGAAGCTCATCAAATAGCTATCTTCCTATTTTAAATTGTCTCACTGTCATGTCATTGACTAAAATGTGCTTCAGAAAGTTTTTTTCAAGACTGATTTTAATTCTATTGGACTATACATTTTCAGATGGAGAGAGACAAAAAACTTTTGAATAATCATGTTCTATATATTTAAAGCCATCAAACATTGCAATAGCCTTCATAATTTTACCTGGTTATGCATTAGTTAAATCATCTCATGCCTTTTACTTAAAAATGGAAAAAAAATAGATAGCCAATTTGGCATTAATTCTGTGGTCAGGAAATAATGTCATTAACTATTAAGATATTTATATAAAGCATTTTATGTAACATGAAAACAATCTGTTTTAGTGGTTATAAACATTTCAAAAATAAAGGATGGCGAAAGGCTATGGAATCCTTTCCTCACTAAGCTTATGGGCTTCAGATGTCTTGCTGGCAATATTAATTTCTTCCTGTAATTCATTTCTGTCAAGCATAATGAAATTCTCAGCTTTCAAATACAGCAGAAAGAGAAACCTGAAATTGCGCTTCATGAATTATCACTAACATGTTCAAAATTTTAAAAGAATAAAAGAACAGGAACACACCTCCCAAAAAGTTAAGGGTAAGGGGTTTCCTTAAAACAAAGTTATCTTGGAGCTCTCAGTGGTTGTGTATGAGGTACATTTCAAACATACTCAGCTGTTAACTCTTAGACTATATGTCAGCTTTCTCTGGGTCTCCTTGATTACTGTTTGAACCCCTCAGAGTATCTCTACTACCAACTTAGGAGCAAACTTCTGGGTAACACCTATAGGCATGCCTTTCTCTGAAGGTGTTAAGAGCAATAAAACATTCAAAAGTCATTTAGGTTAAATTGAGTGTTATTATTAGTAAATACTCTAAATTTAAATTTAGTAGATGGTTCACATGCTTTATTAAGTGAGCTAAATGATCCTTCCTGTATTAGTTTTTTGGGCATATATGGGCCACTTAGTTTGACCCAGGGGAAATAAATGTCTAATAGAATTCCTTACTGCCTCAACCAAAAATAAATTTTATTAGAGAAGGGAAAAAAAATAATACAGAGATTAATATATGTAAGCTTGCACATTTTATTTACCTGAGTTTCCTTTCTTTGTAGTCACACACTCAGCTAGGTACTTAGAGGAACCTAATGGCATGACTCCACAGAGGCTCAGGGATGTGGGGTTCAAACCTGCCACCAAGCAATTTCATTGGCTATCAGGTCTCACTAACTCACCCTAACGCTACACAAGCTGTAAGAAAACAATTCTTACGAGCTGCAGACTAATGATCAGGAAGTAATCAAGAGCCGAGGTGCCAATGACATCTTTTACAATTCCAGTCACACACCATCCCATAATCATGGGCAAGGGATGAAATCTTTAAGTCATAATCTTTTACTAAATAATATTCAGCATTAGCCCAATAAGGGATAGGCTCAAAACATGACATCCTCTGTACCTGTGATGAAACAGGAAGGTCCACTCAAACTAGCTTCAAGATGCTCTGAGATACTCTGTGGGGACTGCAAGCAAGATCACCAAAGAAGCTCCATGGGAAACGAATGATGCTCCATGATTAAGAGCAACATTATTGATGAGTAGCAGACTTTTTATCGCATAAGGCCGTTTTAGAAGGATACAAGTTGAGAGTTTTTCTGAGATTCTGACAAGGAAGATTTGTATCCTATGGACATATCCACTGCCTTCCTATGACCGTCACTTACTGTTGACTTCATTGACATTGCCTTGGATTTCCGCTTGGGTCAGCAATTCTTCATACGCGTCTCTTTCTTCTTCTGAAACACAGTTATTCTGCAAAATAAAGTCTTCACTGATTCTGAGATTTAATTTTTCCAAAGCTCAATATTCAAAAGCAAAAATGCAGAGAGTGATAAAAACCATTCAGTATTATTCATGTGAACTTGAGGCAAGCATTAAAGAGTGTCCGCTTTGGGTAGGGCCCTAGGGTTAGACATGCCTGGCAAAGGTTACAAAGATGAACAACAGACCTGGTGGCTCTCTGAAAAGACCTAATCGTCTGATGCGGAAAACATTAGGTTGGGTTGCTTGATATGGCCATTCTTTGTAGATCAAAACCAGCTGAATATTGGCAATTTCATTTGATTCAGTCTAATAAAACCAAGAAAATAACAAAAATACATAGTAGAACAGAAGAGATTCTAGGAGAAGTACATACTCAGTTGGAAAGAAAAATTAAAAAACAGACAATTGGGGAGGGGCTGGAGAAACAGAGTAATGTTAAAGGCAGAGGGGGCAGCAGGGTGGATTTGGTCCCAGAGGTGGGAAAGCTGGGCAGGTGGGCTGTAGCATGGAGTCTGTGACCAGGGTCAGTCAAAGAGATGGGGAGGTAGGTTAGCTATCCTGGAGGACTTTTAAGGCCTAGCAAAGGACCTGTACTTAACTTAGGAGGCAGTAGGGAATCAGGGGAGGTTCTGGTGGGATGGCACAGATCTCAAGTGAAAGATTAATTTTGCAGCCTCTAGCTCTGAGAGGGGCCGGCCTGAAGAATGACAGGAAGTAGGGAGGCCCGTGAGGAAGGTGTGCACAAGCCCTGAGGTGGGACTGGAAGGTGGGTGGTGGGCGCATGCCTGGAAGGAAAGGCAGACAGAAGAGAGCAATGGAGAGGACAAAGGGGACAGAAAAGGGGCTCTGAGACCATGTGGAAGTCCTTCCAAAGGGAAGTCAGCAAGGGGCACACATATGATAAGGGCAGGAATGAGAGGAGCACCCTTAGGACATGGTGGGGGTCAAGGTTTGGGACACAGAGATGAAATTCTCTGGAGGAACATTACAGGAGCCAGGGATCAAGCCGATGGCTGATTTCTTCAAGTGGATGAGCTTAACTGAGGGAGAGAGAAGTGATTCAATGTCGGGCCATCAAGAATTCCGTATTTAGGAAGAGGAAGAAAAATCACTAAGAGATGCAGAGGGTAACCAGGGCAGGAAAGCGCACAAGCTCAGGGAGCCGACGGTCTCAAGGCAGGTAGAGAGGGTGGGGGGAGGCATGCCAGGTGCTGGTGGCAGCCACCAGCTGGGAAAAGGGGGTGAGATAAAGCAGTTACTTTCTGCAGTCAAGCTGAAGCTGAAATGGCAAAGCTTAAAAATAGCAAAGTGGGTCAGGAGGTGGAAGCCCTGAGTGTAGACCAAGTCTTCAATAACATGAGACAGGAAGGTGGCAGGTGTGGTTAATACGAGGAGCAGGCTGCCTCTTGCTCAGATATGAGGGTAAACTACTGGGAAAATACAAGTGGATTAAAAAACATCTGCTCTAAATTTCATCACAACAAGATTAACCTCTGCTAATAAATCTACAGGTAACTTGGCTAATACAGGTCTGTTGGTGATACCTAGGAAGGAAGATCCTGAGCTGCTACTTCTCACTTTCCAGGTAAGAAGTCTGTGACATGACCTTCTGTCCTTGCAATCTACACTATTCCTCATAAAAGGAAGCCTAATTTCCTTATGTAGTGTGTGGTCTTCTTTTACCCTTTGTTTCACCCAAACCAGCTGCCCATGGCTCTAGAGACCACGGCCAGCTGATTTTAAAATATCACTTTTACCATTAAAGCTTTTTCAAATTGGCTACTTTCTCACAACCATATTTATTGAGAATCTACTTAAATACCTTCAGTCTGGCGGTTTCCTCTTTTCTCTTTTTTGCTTCCCAGAGTTCTCTCTGATATTCCTGTGCAAGGCTGTCATCCACTGAAGTTAAAACTGCATTTGGGTTCCTCAGTGTTGTAATGGTCTGTTCTGCTACCCCTTTTTCAATAGCCTCATTAATGGCGATAACTGCAGCATGCACTGAGAAGAGGAAAAATGATACTTATCAGCAAAAGATGACACGGACAGCAGTGTCAACAATGCATACATAAGCTTACACAGCTTTACTTCCTTCTGTGGTGTCCAATAAGCATGTTAAAGAGACATCAGACACACCACAGAGCCCCCCTCTGACACCCTCCCTGCCTGCCTGTCCACCCTGGGCCCTGGCCGACCGTCTGTCATGAATCGCTCCTCAGCCTGCACTGCGTGGCTACAATCGACCAAGCACAACGCCAACTGCTGCGATTGAAAGGTGGCATGGACACTACCAGGTTGTTTCCAAGAGATACTTGCAGCACAGAAGGACAGTGCCGTGATACACCCACTACTAAAAACTAAGCATGTAAAAAGAAGAGAAATATTTTAGAGAATGAAGATATTTCTGGAACCTCTTAATTCACATTGTACAAGTGGATGTTTAAAGTCCAAATTCATGCCTTGGTTATATTCTGATAGGCTCCAACCAACCATCTATAATACCTGTAATATAAGCTTTAAGAGGGGGCTTAAAGTATCTTCTAATTATTTCTTATAACCAAGATCAACAAATAAGGTATAGGTAAACCTCAAGTATATGGCAAATTTAGATTTTAAACAGACTTACAAGCAGCTTCATCCACAGACAGTTCATTAGCCAGAATACCACCTATTTTGCTGAAAGATGGCATTTGTATTCCATATTTCTCGAGTTCCTTTCTCATATTACTGATTTCTTCCTCTGGAAAAGAATAATAGCAACAAAAATCAAAGCAAGCCACAGAGATTGAGGCAGGAATGAGCATATTCATACCAAGAAATACCTTCATCTTAGGCTCCCTCCCAGAAAGGCAGGACTTCTTTTTTCTGATGAAGGACAATAGGAAGTACATACTATTATTTAAAAAATTAAATAAAGGAATGTCTTCATCAAGAAGGTGGGGCATTTCTAAACAGACCCTCAGGGAGAAGCCATTTCTCATTTCACAAATGTGGGGAAAGGAAACCTTGCCAAGTAAAGATACTAAGTTTTTTATTCTGATCAATATAGAAGAAAAAAAGGAATCAATATCAAAATGAACAAAAAGGTATCAATACCTTTTCTCAGTAACTTCCTTGTACACAATTATAAAGATGAAGAATGGTACCTGTGAAGTCTACTTTGCCCAACAAATCCTGGATCTGGGGTGCTATTCCTAGTTTGAACAGATATAAACTGAAAGAGAAAACATAAAATTATCAGAAATTTTATCATCATAAATCTTAGAGTTAGAACTTAATTAAGCCATAAGGGATTTTTTAGTTGAGAAAGATCTAAGAGATGATCTTGTCAAATCCATGCATATAGATGAGGAAACGGAATCCTGAGGTAACACAGTCTGGGGCGGGGTCAGGACTAGAATCCAGTCTAAATCCCAAGACTGGTCTTCTGTAGTACGCGCGCACTTCCACAGGGTCAGCTATCATCCACTTGCAGGGAGAGTAAGAAACACAACTAATACAAAACAGCAGTTTATAAATGCAATAACCATTTCCTTGGATATTCCTTGTGTGGTGATTCTTATTTTATTGAAAGTACAGCTCAAATTCTATTTTCCTTTCCAATATTCCTCCAAGTATCATACACCCCTTGAGGAAATATTTGTTTCACATTTTCTGAACTATCAATGGATGGGGCGATATTAAAGATAAACCACAATGTAACCATGTTACAAAGTGGCTGATGGAGAACAGACTATGTTTTCAAAAACTTCCTTAGGAAGTATTGATGGCACCCGCTAACCGACCCATGACCTGACAAAGTGAGCTGAGGGCTGGCATCTACATTCTCCCACGATGAAAATATATGGTTATATGGCTTCTCCCACTGAATCATTGAGACATAGTTTCTCTTCCATATTTATCATAACTTCCCCAGCCTTCAAGATTAATTCTACAAACCAACTAAAACTTCCATATTCCATTTATCATCAGTTTTGTCAGATTTATAATTATGAGACTGTATTAGAAGTTAGAAATTACACACTGACACATGGGAAAATTAATTGAGAATGATTTTGATGACTTGAAATATTTCAAGATTACCACTTCAGATGTTGATGTGAGATGGATCTGAGTTTATAAAACATAAAATGTCACTAAAGGGGCTCAAGATCAAGCCTTCCTAATGGTATTAAAACAAACTCAAAATGTCTGATCAACCAATATAAATAGCATGCATTGAAATTAACTTTCTTTGATCATTTCTGTATAAAGCAATCATTTAGAAAACAAATAAGTGGTCAAAGCTAAAAGTTAGTGACTCATGATTTTTAAAAAATTACATAGAAAAACATCACCCAGAGATAAACCCTAAATATTGATATAAATCCTCTTAATGTTGTTTCTGGAAACAGCTATTCCGGAAACTGACATAGCATGCTATAATAGGAACACACTGTAATTTACTTAACCAGATCTTGAGCACTGAGGTGGCCACTAATTATTTACTATGGCAAATAATGCTACATGAACCTACTTGCTGAAAGGATATACACACAGAGCTTCAATGTTTATTGTCAATTTGTGTTATTTATTTATTTACTTATTTTTAATTTTTTAATTTTGGTATCATTAATCTACAGTTACATGCAGAACATTATGTTTACTAGACTCCCCCAATCACCAAGTCCCCCCGACATACCCCATTACGGTCACTGTCCATCAGTGTAGTAAGATGCTATAGAATCACTACTTGTCTTCTCTGTGTTGTACAGCCCTCCCCATGCTCCACCCCCTACATTATGTCTGCTAATAGTTGCCCCCCTTTTTCCCCCTCCTTTCCCCTCCTTCCCACCCATCCTCCCTAGTCCCTTTCCCTTTTGTAACTGTTAGTCCATTCTTGGATTCTGTGAGTCTGCTGCCGTTTTGTTCCTTCAGTTTTTTCTTTGTTCTTATACTCCACAGATGAGTGATATCATTTGATACTTGTCTTTCTCTGCCTGGCTTATTTCACTGAGCATAATACCCTCTAGCTCCATCCATGTTGTTGCAAATGGTAGGATTTGTTTTATTCTTATGACTGAATAATATTCCATTGTGTATATGTACCACATCTTCTTTATCCACTCCTCAACTGATGGACACTTAGGTTGCTTCCATTTCTTGGCTATTGTAGTGCTGTGATAAACATAGGGGTGCATCTGTCTTTTTCAAACTTGAGTGCTGCATTCTTAGGGTAAATTCCTAGAAGTGGAATTTCTGGGTCAAATGGTAAGTCTATTTTCAGCATTTTGAGGAACCTCCATACTGCTTTCCACAATGGCTGAACTAATTTACATTCCCACCAGCAGTGTAGGAGGGTTCCCCTTTCTCCACAACCTTGCCAACATTTGTTGTTGTTTGTCTTTTGGATGGTGGTGATCCTTACTGGTGTGAGGTGATATGTCATTTTGGTTTTAATTTGCATTTCTCTGATGATTAGCGATGTGGAGTATGTTTTCACATGTTTGTTGGCCAACTGAATTTCTTTGGAGAAGTGTCTGTTCAGATCCTGTGCCCATTTTTTAATTGGATTATTTGTTTTTGTTTGTTGAGGTGTGTGAGCTCTTTATATATTTTGGATGTCCACCCTTTATTGGATCTGTCATTTATGAATATATTCTCCCATACTGTAAGATACCTTTTTGTTCTATTGGTGGTGTCCTTTGCTGTACAGAAGTTTTTCAGCTTGATATAGTTCCACTTGTTCATTTTTACTTTTGTTTCCCTTGCCTGGGGAGATATGTTTATGTCCAAGAGATTTTTGCCTATCTTTTTTTCTAAGAGTTTTATGGTTTCATGACTTACATTCAGGTCTTTGATCCATTTCGAATTTACATTTGTGTATGGGGTTAGACAATGATCCAGTTTCATTCTCTTACATGTAGCTGTCCAGTTTTGCCAACACCAGCTATTGAAGAGGCTGTCATTTCCCCATTGTAGGTCCATGGTTCCTTTATCATGTTAATTGACCATATATGTTTGGGTTAATATCTGGATTCTCCATTCTGTTCCACTGGTCCGTGGGTCTGTTCTTGTGCCAGTACCAAATTGTCTTGACTACTGGGGCTTTGTAGTAGATCTTGAAGTTAGGAAGTGATATCCCCCCTACTTTATTCTTCCTTCTCAGGATTGCTTTGGCTATTTGGGGTCTTTTGTGATTCCATATGAATTTTAAAACTATTTGTTCCAGTTCGTTGAAGAATGCTGTTGGTATTTTGATAGGGATTGCATTGAATCTGTAGATTGCTTTAGGCAGTATGGCCATTTTGACAATATTAATTCTTCCTAGCCAAGAGCATGGGATGAGTTTCCATTTGTTAGTGTCCTCTTTAATTTCTCTTAAGAGTGTCTTGTAGTTTTCAGGGTATAGGTCTTTCACTTCCTTGGTTAGGTTTATTCCTAGGTATTTTATTCTTTTTGATGCAGTTGTGAATGGAATTGTTTTCCTGATTTCTCTTTCTGCTAGTTCATCATTAGTGCATAGGAAAGCAACAGATTTCTGTGTATTAATTTTGTATCCTTCAATTTGTGTTTTTAAAGATCTTTTACTGATTTATTCTTTGTAAGTAAAGGGTTAATAAAACCCCTTTCCCTTCTGAGAGGGATGCAGACCATCAGCTAACTTTCTAGCTCTTTCCCTAGGACCTGGTAAAGGTATACTGACAACCCTACTATTAAGCCTCATTGCTGAGGAGAAAAATAACCCCTGATTGAAATTGCACCTTTGACTGGAAGGAATTGTAAGTACCTAATAGGCACCACACCTTTAGGTGTCCCTGAGTTCAGTGCCTCATCTAACTGAAACAGTCCTAGGGACCTGGGAAGCCATGCTGTGGAGCTGTTACAATAGATCAGGCTGCAGGGGGCTGAGGTTTAAGCCAGGGAGGGCCGTGCACCCACCTGCCAATGCGAGTCTCACTGCTTAGCACCCAAGTTGTCACCTGGGGTACCAAAGAGAACAACTACCAGACGGCTGTGAGGATGACTACATGGAGCACCTAGAAGGCTCCCACTGAAGAGCAAACACTTGATGCTACCCTGTTGGCAGACTGGGTTTCTTGGCTCTTTCTCCTTCTGATCATCTCGTGCCAGAAGTGGCTTAAGCAGTCCTGAGAGCCAGAAGGTTTAGTTGAACCTAAGCACCTGCTGATGGCTTTGGCCCAGTTCCACCACCAATACATGAGAATACCATTTTCTTTGTCCCCTTTTCACCACAGAATACTGTCAATGAAAACCTTTCTAATCTGCTAGCCAAAAATGGTATTTAAGTTTGCTTTTCCTTTTGTTAGTGTGAGGATAAACATATTTTTCATACACATATGGGGCATTTTCATTTCTTCCAGGAAATGACTTAATCTCTGAATTTTAAATATTATTTTTTAAGGGAATTGACCCTTCTCTGGTTTTCCCCTCTTTTCCTTCAAAACCACAGTCAAAAGACAAAGAACAAATGACATTTTAACCACATGGTAATTTTAATTTAGTACTAAATTCCAATATGATATGCATGTCTTATCCATAGAGGGATATCAGATCCTGAACATTCTTCAGTGTAAAAGAGGCATTATGTATTCATAATTCAAATCTAGAAAGACAGGGTATATTTCTTAGTTTAAATTCTAGGTCTTTGGAGATTATCAAGGATATAAAACTATTTACACAGCCTCTAAAGACTTTACTACCAAAGGTTCATGCCAAACAGGCCATTATAATTAAAACTAGTATGCTGACATTTTCAAAACTGTAATATTTTATGAACCACTTCTCAACTCATTACTACATAGGAGAAACAATTCCAGTAAAAGGGGAACTCAAATCACATGGAACAAATGAAATGTCAACCTCCTCACTTGCTCCTTTCTAGTAACAGGAGCTACAAAATTGAAGAGAATTAAACACACAGGGATGGTAAAGCTGCAAAGGAATTCTAGGAAAATAAAATCAAGCCATACATTAAGAAAACAGATCCCTAAATGATAAACAAATATATACTTCAATTTCTTTCATACCCCTTGATTTTTTTCTTCCTTTTTTTACAACTAAATGAAAAAATAGACCTGAACTAATTTTCAAAGAAAGCTATAAAAACAATTCAGTGGGAGAAACTTTGACAATGTGACAGTAAAATTTAAGTTGAAGATACCCATAAAATGTTTTCTAACTAATTTTATATCAGTAATTATTTCAGATATT